GGGGGTTCTGGATGTGGGCACCTGAGGGAACCGCACACTCAAGATGCTTTGCGGTTCGCCTCGAATGGTGTGATTTCCGCCGTCGTGCCTAGTTGGACGACGCGTGTCACACGCGATATGAGGTTCGGAGTGCTGTAAGCGGTGGATTTGGACGTGCAAAATAAAAGTCCCCCCCCCCCCCCCCCCCAAAAAAACGAATGGTACACCCTAAATCGCATAACTGTACTTGATTAATAAGTGTACCCGGGTCTTATACAACTCGTTCCGATTAAATGTTCACCCTAACCAATTTGCCTCTATTTTAGGAAAGTCCCCCGGGTCTTATATCCGGGAGAATACGATATCCGGGGTGTGTCTACTATAGAGGGTCCCCGATGGTAACAACCCCTTTTTGCTGAATTGGATATTGCACCCCCCCCCCCCCCCCCCCCCCCCCCCCTTCCCCTCTCCTTCCGTCATTGGTGGGTGGAGCGTGTGGGTTGTAGTATCCATTACACACGGGTGCACTAAAAATATTTCAAAATAGTCCACCCACCCCCATTTTTTCCATGAATTTTAGACAGCACCCGGGGTCTACTATACGGGGGATTACGGTATAAAACTCGAAGATTTTTAAGATGAAATAATTCATAACATGAATAAAGATGAAACTGCAATAATGTAAAAGCACTGCGCTACAGCTCCTTCTGTCCCTACAAGCATAACACCCATGCAGGGCGTCCTTAAACGCCCTACCGAAGGACTGCTCTCAAACTTGTAACCATATAGTAAATGTGAGCATCTCTTGAGATCAGTCGCACTTCTTCCTCCTATGCAGCAAGCCCTTGCTGCTACTGCAAGAAAGGCCAGCTTACGCCCTTCTTGGCAGAGAAACCCCACCCCTTATCTCCTTCCATCCAACCCCATCTCTCGAAGCCATTCAACGAATCAATGACCATCAGCTCCAACCTTTCTTCCATCTCTCCGTCCTTCCCCACCTCCATAGTCACCTGCTGCTTTCAAGAGCTTGATTCCATTCCTCCATTCTCATAACTGGCCTCGGATTATAAAGAGGCATCAGACCCACATCCCCCATCCACCCTCAACCCTTCCAACTCCACATGGTAACTGTTTCAAGCCACAGCACATGCTAGTGTGTGCACCCCTCGCCTCTCAAGTCGCCCTTCAACCCCTCCACCTCCACATTCATCTGCTCCTCCTCCGTCCCTGTTTTCCCGCTCCTGTGTGCTATCCTGTCCCACATCCTCTTAGCAAATTTTGTCTTAGCGAGGATAGGAATGAGGGTGAGCACAGCCAGTAGGCAGAAGATGGCAATCGTGGCAGGATCGTAGAGGTCTGAAACGGAGTTGATTGTAGAGAGTACGCACCCAGCCTTCACTTGTACCACGTTGTAAGGGAAAAACCCCAGGAATGTGCCTATAACGAAGGTTGGGAAGGGGATTCCGACCACTGGAGCACAGAGGTTGATCACCCAGGAGGGAAGCACGGGTGTGATTCTAAGGAAGATGATATAATAAACGAGGCAGCTCTGGTGGCGCTGCACCTCGCGTCGCAGCCAATCGCAGCGCTCCGTGAAGTAAGAGTACACCACATCGCGAAGAATGAAAAGCGATACGGCGTAGGAGAGGCACGCGCCGATGGTTATAAAGAGCGAGATTGTAAAGAGGCCGAGTGGGAAGCCAAAAAGGGACCCAGCTAGGATGTTGCAGAGGAGGGTTCCAGGAATTAGGAAGGTTTGAATAAAGAGATAAAAGTTTACGAAAGTGAAATACACTCTGGTGGGGTATGCTGCCATGTAGAGGTTGAGTGTAGATCGCATGGATTGGAGGTCTGAGATGCTGTGGGGGAAGTGGAGGGTCGCATAAGCGACAGCTGTCGTGCTGCTGTTGGAAGATTCGGAACCAGGTGAATATGGATTGGATTCTGTGGCAGATGCGTTGAAGAGGGAATTATCTGGTGCGAATAACGACACGCTGCCCCCGCCGATGCTGCTGGTGGTGGTGCTGCCGTTCGCGGGAATATCTTGACCTGAAGGATCCACAACTAGGGTTTCATTGCTCGGACTGCTCCCGTTGCTGCTGCTGCTAAAGCTGCCCAGAAAATTTCCGCTGCTCATGAACCCATTCCCGTTGATGCCGCTGAGCTCGCTCCCATTGGTTGCGACTCCACCAAACGGCGTCGCAGGCGACTGCAATGCGACCTGAACGGTGGCGATAGACGGCAGCGTTACGAAGCTGACGACGACAATGAGCGACCACCCAAGGAAAAGCAGGAGGAGGCAGGAAAGCCGGCGACATAGTTCCGAACCGACGCCGACGGCAGCAGGAGAAACGTCAGGATAGCCGGAGATGGCGACTATGGCGGGATCTTCTACGGATTTCGGTCGAAGGACGACGGTGCTACAGTCGCTGCGACAACCACCCTTGCTGCCGCAACAGTCGGAGGTGACAGAGTCGGGAGTGATAGAAACGGGGTCCAGCGTGATGGTAACGGTGTCGTCCCTGATCGGTTTTAACCTAACGTGGGCGGAGTCTATATTAAGACAATGTATTCTGTCGATGATGCCGTCGCTGCTGCTTCTTCTGCTGCTGCAGCCACTTCTGCTACCGCCGCCACCGCCGCCGCCGCTGCCGGTGTCGTCAAAGCAGTGACTGGATTCGAGGCCGAACGGGCAGTTGACGAAATCGGCGTTTTCGTCGGCGTCACTTACTACTCCGCCGGGGTTCAGCCGCGCGGTGCTCGGCGAATCCGGATCGCGTGAGTGCGACATTGCGCTCGGCGACGTGCGACGTGCGACGTGCGACAGGAAGTGCGACGGGCAACGATGAGTCGCCTGCGGTGACGTCGGCTTTCCCACAAAATAAGTCGACGTGCGGGGATAAATCAGAAACTTCTACGTAGAAGATGAGGGTGTATAACCTAGACGAGGCCGCATACTAACGAGATAAGACTTAGCCAGCAGCATAGGGCTCGAACTGGGGAACGAGGAAGGAAGGTGGCTAGGAAAGCGGCGAGAATCCGTGCCTGATGTGTCGAGTCCAAACAATCGAAAATGCAAGAACCCGCTGGCACTAACAAGCGAGTTAGTCGGCAGAATCTTCACTGAGGATGCGTAGAAACTAAGGGAACATAGAAGCAGACTTGATAAGACTGAAGACATAAATATGGATGGACGGACTAGGAAGTATTGTAGGCCAAGAAGACGGGAAGTGTGGGTGCATCGGTTGTCATCGAGAACTTCTCGGTCAGGCCAGGTAAAGGGAACCGTCACTGCCGCACAGGTTTGTTCTCTGAGCCTTGCTTGCCTCGGCAGAGATTTGAGAAAACCGGCAGGGCAGCTACGGCATGGCGGGATGTGATTTCCATACCTAATCGTGGAACGTACTGTAGTGCAGAGCAGAACTGATAAACTCACCTACACTATCCTACCTACACATACACCTTGGAAGTCGGGCTTGGAGGTAGGGAGTTTCGGAACTTGGTTCGGGAGCTTAGGTATTCCGGGACTGGTTCGCGAACTTCGGCGGTACGGGTGACGGGGCAAGTGAGGTATGGGTGCGTATTTGGTTAGCACAACGAGGCACGGGCCCTGGCTGGGTGAGAGGGGGCGCTGAACGCGGACCAAACCTGGACCGAAGCCAGCACGTAGTTTCAGAGGCAGAAGCGGTAACTTCGACGCGGACTCACGAACCGCGACGAGAGTGAAAACGAGTGACACAGGTGCGCGAGTGTGAGCTTGGGGAACGAGCCTTGTGGAAAGATGGGACAGCAGAGAAGAACGGGACACATCAAACCGACTTCCGGCTCGAGGGGGAATGTGATGGTCTGGGGCGGGAACATTTTCAACAACTCAGAGCGTATTCCTATCCTCGTATCAAGAAAACCTCATATCAACTTCCCACTGAAAATTCCCCTAAACCCGAAACCTCTCGCTACTTTTACCAGGCAAATAGTACAATCTTGATATGAGGTTTTCTTGATACGAGGATAGGAATACGCTCTCAGTCACAGATTATCCGCTTGTCAGAGAGTTTTTGAGCTGGGCAGGGTGGAGGAGAACACCTCACTAAATGCGTTTTGATGAAGCCAACAAACATCTCACCAACCATACCACTCGGCAACAGCAATCGTGGCATAGAGATTCATGGGCTACATGGCAGGGACAGAAACATAAAAACCTCCGTAACGAGAAAACATGGAGATGCGGGGTATCGATCCCCGTACCTCTCGCATGCTAAGCGAGCGCTCCACCATCTGAGCTACATCCCCGTCGATCGAAAAAAATCGGATTTATTTCGACTAATGAAAGCGGCTAAGCCAATGCCAGTAGAATTCACTTGTCGCTTATCACTGGAGCTACTGAAAAAAAATCGATGCTCTCATAAATGACTACCGGGTCAAATCTGGAACATTGAATCCCCCCCTCCCGCTACAATCTCATTTTTTTTTTCTCCCTATCCATATCGCACAATTGCAGACGCCCATGTAAGGCCAGCACCAAAACCGGCCGTTGCGATAACATCCCCGGACTTCACTTTACCACTGCGCACAGCTTCGTCAAGAGCAATGGGGATGGATGCTGCACTCGTATTGCCGTAACTGGCCACATTTGAGATCACCTTCTCGTGAGGAATGCCCATTTTGGTTGCCACAGCGTCCATTATCCGTTGATTGGCCTGGATGGTGGCAGAGGAGGAATAGAGAAGTTGTGCAATAATGACCGAGGAGCAGAATTGAGTGACATGGAAAAGAGAGTTTGACACCTGGATCAATGCACAGCTGCACTGCATCTACTGTAAATAATCTGTTTAGGTTGGTAAGATGCACAGCGGAGATCTGAATGGTAGGAGGTCCTTAACGCAACTAAGCAGCACTTTTGTTTGTTTCCAGCAAGTTGGTACTTACCCCATTGCTCCGAGCACTTCCAGTCTGTAACAAAGGAACAAGTTACCTGTTGTTTCCATGTGGCTACTTGAGTGCATGCGAAGCAAGACAGCTACCTGATGCAGCAGAAGCCAGTCAATGTCGCCCGTCGAGAGCTCTGCCTCCTGAAGTGCTGCTTGTAGGACCTGCAGGGACGAGAGGCCAGACCAGGTGTGGTTGTTCATGAGTGGTAATGACAGGATGGGGGGGGAAGGGAAGCAGAAGCCAGTCAATGTCGTCCGTTGAGAGCTCTGCCTCCTGAAGTGCTGCTTGTAGGACCTGCAGGGACGAGAGGCCGGACCGGGTGTGGTTGTTCATGAGTGGTAATGACAGGACGGGGGGGGAAGGGAAGCAGAAGCCAGTCAATGTCGTCCGTTGAGAGCTCTGCCTCCTGAAGTGCTGCTTGTAGGACCTGCAGGGACGGAAGGCAGGGTGTGGTTGTTTGTGGGAAGGGAGAAGATGTGAAGGTGAAAATGGAAACCTAAAGCGGGTTGGGAAGCTGCTTGTACGACATGACGGGGTGAGGGGAAGAGGGCAGAGAGGAAGGGAGAAATAGGGGGCTAGAGTGGATACAGGCTTTAACAACATGCAAAATATATTCGTTATGTGAGGAGGCATGTACACATTGACAAGAAACACAGTAGTGAAGCCTTTATGGGGCTATGTTAGTTAGTCTCTTTTTGGGAGGGGAGAAGGGAGAAGGGGGGGCAACGAATCAGAACATGGTCATCAAGCCTGCCTTTTTCTTTGTCTTTTGTTTTTTGTTTGTTGTTTTTTTTCCCTTTTTTTCGGGCTGTGGCGGGGCATGAAAGTGATCTTGAGGGGGTCTCCGAGCATGACAGTGATGCCTGCCTTAGACCTGCAAGCTGTGTTGCATACCTGGGGCACGGAGGTGACAGCGAACTTGTAAACCTCCTTCCCGTTCATCACTATGGGGGTCGCCACCGCCCTCCCCGCAATGGACCCGCTCTCTTCTGGTGCCGGTGTCACACTGAAGCACGCGTGCAGGTGCCTGGCGAGGGAGCATCAGGGAAAGGACAGGGGGGAGGTTTGGGGGGATGTATGGTTTAGGGTCGAGCAAAGCAGCTTGCCGCCTCCCTGCTCGAGTCAGCGCAGAGCTGCAACAGGCTGGTGCACTTGGGGATGAATACAAGAGGAGTCAGCCAATAGGATTGAAGTCGGGTGTTAGCAACAAATCCTTTTGCAATGCCTGCTCTTTGCTGGGCTATCACAATGTCGAAACACGGTGCGGTGCGGACCATTACTGCTGGGCACTTGCAGTTAGGCTTAAAATCACCTTAGCAGCACACCTTGAACCAAGGAGGCCCCTGAATAATGTACCATGAACCATGCCTGTCATCGTAAAGATGGATCCCCAGCTAGTTATCACCACTCTTGCTCTGGCCTTGTTTCACAACAACCAGCATACCGTCGCTCTCGCCCTCGCCTGCAGCATGCACCAGCACGGCCCCACAGCCATCGCCGAACAGGATGCACGTACCCCTGTCCGACCAGTCCACGTACCTTGCCTGGTGTGGCAGACAGTACGCTGGATCCTAACTGGAAACCCTGACGACCTCTCTGAGAGAGACTATCCATCCAGCTTACCTTGACCCCCCTCCATCCATCCCTCAAACCACTGCCGAGCGTTGCCCTAGTAGCCCCACCTCCATAGCCATCGCTGTGCATGTCGAAGCCCAGCATACCATCGCTCTCGCCCTCCGCTGCAGCCTGCACCAGCACGGCCTCAAAGCCATCGCCAAACAGGATGCACGTACCCCTGTCCGACCAGTCCACGTACCTTGGTACGGCACACAACACGCTGGATCCTAGCTGGGAACTGAAGAACCCCCATGAGAGACAATGCCCGTTTCTTTTATCTTGATCTCTCATATTACTGCTGAGTGTTACCCAAGTAACCCTACCTGGAGCCGTAGCCGTCACTGTGCATGTCGAAGCCCAGCATACCGTCGCTCTCGCCCTCAGCTGCAGCCTGCACCAACACGGCCCCACAGCCGTCGCCGAACAGAATGCACGTGCCCCTGTCCGACCAGTCCACGTATCGGGACAGCCCATCCGCCCCCACCACAAGCACTCGCTCGTACCCGCCACCTGCAGGGTTGGTTCAGTGGCAGGAGATGGATGGAAAAGTGACAAGCAAAGAGCAAGGGGAGCTATCAAAAAGAGCAGTCAAAGGCAAAATGTCCGACCAGTCCACGTATCGCGACAGCCCATCCGCCCCCACCACAAGCACCCACTCGTACCCGCCTCCTGCAGGGTTGGTTGGTTCAGTGGCATAAGATGGTGGACAAGTGAGGAGCATGAATACAAAGCAAGAGGAGCAGTCACATAACTCCATATAGGGGGAGGGGGATTGTTCTTGTTAACAACAAACACTCACTACGAGCTGCCTCCTGCGGGATTGGATTAATCATTAATGATTTACAACCCCGGAGGCAGCTTATGAGGGGTAGGGGGAGAAGATTTATGTGTGCAGTCAGTTATTTAGCCAGGAGTGGGGATTCATATGGACATGAATGTAACGAACATGAGGCAGTATTTCTCCTGAATCGAGGTACAAACATCCATGGACACCGAGGTTCTGGGGGTACCTTGGATGAACCGGGAGGCGGTGACAAGGCCGAGGACAAAGCCACTGCACGCTGCAGTGAGGTCGAACGCCACCGCTCGTTTGCAGCCCAGGTCCCGTTGAATCTGGCGGCAACGGAGCAGGGAATGGCGGGGAAAAGGTAATAGCAATCAGGGGCCGGGAGCAGGGTGACAGAGGAGAGCGTGAGACCAGAACGACGAAGGGGTGATATGCGATGGGGACGCAATACGAATTAGTGGAATTGACAATGTTGCATGAACGATGCTCACCAGGCAAATTCCACGCCTCATGTTTTGAAAGTTGATGTGAAGTCTATTGACAATGATGGTAACCAGCGGGTCTACGAATTGAGACCGTGAGATGCGCTCGATTATGATGGTCACAGTCACGAGACAACTAGATCGACGGTGAGATCGTCAGAGGATGACGTGCAGACCTTCAGGGGTTGACGCCCAGAAGACCACCGAATTTTTTGTTTCACGGTATATCACGCAGGTATGTGTCTTGTCTACGAGCTCCGATACCCACCAGGCAGCTACCGCCTAAAGTATCGTCGTCGCATCGAGGGTTGAAGTGGAAATGAGGATCATGGAAACCACTGATCGCAGGCATAATGTACAAATTGCGCATGATACTCACCAGGCAACCATCGCCGAATGTCGTCGTCGTCGTCGAGGTTGACTTGCGAATGTAGATGGTAACCAGTGATCGTAACCATAATTCACGTTTCAGAACTCACCAGGCAACCACCGCCGAAAATGTCGTCGGGGGTTGACGTGCAGAAGATGATCAGGTCCACGTCAGCAGGGTCCACGCCAGCCATTTCCAGAGCCTTCCGCGAAGCCTCTGTAGCCAGGCCAGTCATCGACTCGTTCTCTGTGCCACCGCAATCACGGAGGGGTAAATGAAGATGACGGGAAGAGACAAGGGGCGGGAGTGGGGGATAGGAGATTGATTAGGGTGGTTTTCGAAGTTCGTGGTGAGAAAGCGCGACGGAGAACGGATTCGGGGAGCTAAAATCCCCAGGTGATTTCCATCGCGCTGTTTCTTTGGTTCGTTGTTTCCCATCAAACCGCCATAAGACACTGCTGTAGAGCATGTTACGGATGCTGGTTACGCTGGAATGCAACAGCTTACCAGAGAGGACATGGCGGTTCCGAATGCCGGTACGGGTGGCGATCCATTCATCGGACGTTTCCATCAGGGATGCGAGAAAATCATTGGTGACAATTTTCTTTGGCACAGCTGAGCCGGTTCCAATGATTCGAGAACCACGGCCGGGCTTCCTGCATAGTGGACATGAATGAATTCAAATTGTACTTTGTGCATAAGTACAAATGACGAAGCGAAGCGCAAGTTCTGTGAACGAGGAACTGAAATGTCGTTCCCAGGGTGACGAAACTTAGCAGAAAGACACGACGTAATTTTCCGTTCTCACAGTGCCAAGCTCCGATCTGACGTAGTTAGCACCTCATCCTAATATTCACCTCTTCCGGGATTTTTTCTCGCCGGAGTCAGCAGCCGGAGGCTCTGTGGTGGCTGAATTCACCACATTCAATGCTCCTGTGGACGAAGCTTTCAATGCCTGGCGTTGCCATGTCCTGGAGCTCGATCCAGACAGAATCAATTTGCCGTTTCCGCGAACAGCAGCACAAGACGAGAATCTGCTACTCTGGCTAATGAAATCGCTGCTTCTCTCAACAGACGCACAGCCTATAGAGACGGAACAAGCGGCACTAACGGCCTGGGCCATGTCTGCTAGGCTAACCAGCAACACCTGTCAGTGGACACTAGAACGGCACCTGCTAGAGTGCACTCAGAACAGCATAGGACGGCTGAAGGGTTCGTCAGAACCGTTAAGACGGAAGAACGAAAGAATCAACCTAGGAGGCTATCTGAAAAGTTGAAGAAATGGCTAGGCTAGAGAGTATTGTGCCTGCTGTGGCTGTCTGGGCCTGCTATGGCTGTCCAGACCAGTCTAGGACTGTGATCAGCACCTAGCCGGAACTCCTGAGGAGCATATAATGCACTTAGCTTTGGGGGTTTGCACGGTGGCACTGGTGGTGCTGCTGGTGCTGGTGGTGTTGAGGATGCTGGTGTTGCTGGTGGTGAGGTGAGTAAAAGCATGGTTGATTTTGCTGGTGTTTCTGGGACTGGTGAAGTGAGCAGTGATGACCAACAACACAGTGGGGATCGTGGAGGGATGATAGGCATTCCTCCAGCAAATTCTCAGGGAGGTGATTTCCAGGCAACAGTTGACTCCGGTAGTGACGGAGCAACAGTGAAGGGGCAAAGATCGTCCAAACCTACACTTCCAAAGAGAAGGTTGGGATTCTCCTTCTCCAGTTTCACAACTGTCAGTAGAGCGAGTGATTTGTAGTACATTTGTTTAGGCTGGTGCTTTGCTTAGGTACAACAAACGTCTGAACGTATTGTGTGCCAAGTAGAATGTACATGGATTGTAAAATATAGAATCTTTGCGTGCACCCTTTTGTTTTGTATCACTGGTTCCGTGGACTTGGAATGCAGTTTCGAGTGTTCCAATAGCGGTGAGTGCTAACGTGGTTCGGATCGAAACTTTGCCACGCAATCACGGTTTTCGCAACGGTGATCATCCCTGACGACACACGAGCCGCTGATGGCGAATCTCGCGATTGTCGCCATGTCACGGATGTCGCCTCCAACGTCACTCCAACCTTCTGACCGTGGAAACAGCAAAGTTCGAGGATGTCCGTTGACGGCCGGATGCTCCTCAGGAGTTCCGGCTAGGTGCTGATCACCGTCGTACGAGGCTAGGGAGGATGCTAAAGAGGGAGGAGTGGAGAGAGAGGAGGGGATTACAGGACCGTCGGGAGTGGCAGAGGCAGTGGTGGTGGCGGTGCTGGTGGTGCTGGTGATGTGGGTGGAAGGTGGATGGGGCGGGCTGATGGCTGTTGTGCTGACCGTGTGCCGTAGGGGAGGAGGCCTGGAAAAAGACGCACCGACAGAGGGGAGGAGAGAGGAGAGGGGAGGAGGGTAGCAGTGAGGAGAAACACGAGGAGGGAATTGATACATGGAGACAGTAACTGTCGTGCATCAGCACTATAATCAAATCAATAGAGAAAAAGTCACTAGGCGATGACGCTTGATTACAAAAAGGCATATATATATATACATATATATATATATATATATATATGGGCAGAATAAGAGCTGCAAAGCCATGTAGGTGTACGCATTCAGGTATGCGCAAAGTCACACTCATTGCACATTGCACATTGCACATTGCACATTGCATACATACACAAATGCACATCGCACACTGCACCATAGATAAATATGCACGTTGCACAAGGCACACGCACCTCTCACTGCTTGATCCTGTAGCCTCTGTCACCGACACACTCCTCCCACTACTGCCCAAATAATGCCCACCACTCCCCAACTGACGCCCACCATCTCCCACCCTCTCCTCTCCCTCCTCTCCCTCCTTTTCCTCCTCTTCCTCCTCTTCCTCCTCCTCTCCTTCTTCCTCCTCTCGCACACTCCCATCAAGCATGCTTTCACTGAAGCTGCTATTACCAGGAAACCCACTCTCCACCGAGCTGCTTCCAACAAACCGACTCTCCCAAGCACTGCCACCACCACCAGCAAACATGCTGTCATTGAAGCTGCTCATTCCATGCCCCTGCAGAGTCTGCCTTGACAGCTGTCCCCTCCTGGACGCTCCAGGGGATGGGGTCCCTCTATAAGCCCCGCCCACACCTTCGTCATAAGCACCCTCGTTAGGCAAACCAGGCCCTGCCTCGTTATAAGCACCACTAGCCGATGCTTGCGAATCTGCCCGAGAAATCGCTGCCTGTGGATCCTGCCCGAAAACCACTGCTTGACATTGAGAGGCTGCTTCAAAGGAGGATGCTTGCCGGTCTGCCCCACCTGAAACCAACGCCACTCTCTGTGCTTCTGCCCCAGGTGTAACCCTCAGGGTTTCTGCTGCACGCGCAGGCAAGCTGTGCCTTTGCGTTTGGACCTCCTCCTCCAAAGCTGGGCCTTTGCCTTTGTCTGTGGAGCGTAAACCTGCTGCTGTAAGTGCATCTGCAGATCTTGCATCATTGACAAACACATTCCCTGCTCGTCCATCCCTGATAACCCCTGCCGATCCAGCATCCCTGCTGCTGAACGCATCCATCCCACCAGCACCAGTCCTAGGGTTCATTGACAGGTGCCGAGACAGACCTCGTCCAGGTGGAACCTGGTGGAGGGTTCGACTGGGCTGGTCTATCCCTCGCTGCAGAGGGAGACCGGCCAGGTTCCCGCTAGACAGGTGCTTTCTGGGAGGAGGTTTGGACTGGGTTCGGCTGGAAGGGCTGGTGAGGCTAAAGGAGGGGCTGCTGTTGGTATACTTGAAGGTTTTGCTCTTAGAAAACGGGCGTGTCGTGGGGGATTGTAGAGAGGGGTTGTAACGAGGGCTGTAACGAGGGTTTGTTGCAATGAGGGATGGCGGGCGGTGGTGATGTGGCGCGTGAAAACTGGATGGGCTTGTGCTGGATAGGTCAAAAGCAGCAGGGCTGCGTTTGAAGGTCCTGCTCTTGCTGAAAGGGTGTGGAGAGCGAGGAGAGAAGGCGTCTGGAAAGAGTGAGTGGGTTGCACTGGTAGTGGCAGAAGCAGCAGCAGCAGCATCAGCAGCAGCAACAGCAGCGGCAGCAGCAGCAGCAACACTGGTAGGTGTTGAACCAACGGTGCCAATGGCAATGCCACGAGCATTGGAAGCAGCACCAGACGATACTGCTGCCACTGCAGCCGCAGCTGCTGATGTGCTCATGACCGTTTGACTGTAGCTTAGAACCCTTCCACTGTGGCTCTGACGTTGTTGGAATCTCATAGCATCAGCTGGGTTATTTGAGAGTATAGCCTGGATATTAGGGGTGTCAGGGATACTTGCTGCACTCCTGGTTTGTCGAAGGTTCCGGGAAGACTCCAACCGGCGAAAGTTCCGAGAAGATTCGAACCGACGGAGATTCTTCTTGGAGAAATCGGGGTGCTGAAGGTTCCGGGAAGATGCGAGGCGCTGCAGGTTCCTGGAAGGCTCCGGGCGCTGAAGGTTCCTGTGAGATTCCATACTCGGGAGGTTCCCAAGTGACCCGCGCTGGTGGTGGTGGTGGATGCTGTTGGTGGGAGATTCTAGATGTTGCAGGTCTGGAACAGACCGGTTCGAGGCAGATCGACGGAGCAGGCTATCCGAACTGGAAGATGGTGATGTCATTCTGGAGGACGGTGACACCATCCCAGGGGATAGTGACGTCATTCTGGGGGCTGGTGACGTCATCCTAGGGGATGATGACGTCACTCGGAGGGATGGTGGCATCATTCGAGGGGATGGTAACGCAAGTCTGGGAGATGGTGGTGCGAGTCTGGAGGAGGATGGTGTGGAGAGGGGGAGAGCAGGGAGGTCCTCGTAGGATGCTAGGTTGCGCACACGGGTCCATTCCTCCCCCTGCCAAAGATAGAAAAAGAGTGCGTGCGAGTGAGTACATCAGTGCGAGTATGTGTGAGTATGAGGGTGTGTGCGCATGTGTAAAGTGTGAGTGTGGGGAGGAAGAAGGGGAGGGTGGGTGGGGAATGGGAACGAAAAAAAGAAAAAGGCAAGATAGCAGGTCCGCTCTGCTTGTAAAACTTCTCTTTTGAGCTTGCCAATTCTGCTCAGGTTGCTCCAATTTTTTTTTTTTTTTTTTTTTTCTGGAGACACATGGCATTGCAAGCAACCTCAACAGAAGTTCCACGAACAAGCACCAACCCACTCACCAGCTGAAACTTCTCCTTCAAGTTAGCCATTTTTGCTCGAAATGCCTCTAGCAGCGAAACAGGGGGGGCAGCAGAACCAGCTACCCCAGCTGCTGCCCCTGCTGCTGCCGCCGCTGCCGGCCTTGCTCCTAATCCTGCTCCTACTGCTCCTGCTCCTGCTGCTCCACCTGCTGCTCCTCCTGCTAACCTATCTTCCCTGGATAAACCTTCCCGAGATAAACCTTTCCCAGAAAAGCTTCCTCCAGATAAGCCTCCCCTTGCAAGACAGTGCTCGTGGTTGAGGGGTGAGTTGCTGGTCGGCACATCCGCTGGGAACGGCACTGTGTATATCCCTGTTGCTGCTGCAGTAGCCACTGAATTTTGAGGCGACTCAGAAGATGGCGCTGTGTATATCCCTGTTGCTGCTGCAGTAGCCACTGCTGTGGAGGAGGAGTAGGAGGCGGGGGCGGATGAGGAGGAGCAAGTGGAGACGGTGAAGTGGTGAGATGTCCCAAATATCCCTGTTGCTGCAGAGGAGGAGGTGGAGGAAGAGGAGGTGGAGGAGGGGAGTGGGGAGGGGGCGAATGCAGGTAGAGATGGGAGCGAGATGGGGAGCTTGAAGCTCAGATTGTGGTGTAGAAGGGAAGGAGACGGCTTCTTGGAGGCGTTTGAGAAGCTCTTTAACGAGGATAAATACTTGTGGGGAAACTGGTGGAGAGGAGAGGCTGGTGCTGGTGATGCTGGGGCTACTGTTGACCCTGAAACATCCGGTGCTGCTGATGCTGCTGCTGTTCGTGGTGATGGTGATGGTGATGACGATGATGATGGTGCTGCTGCTATTGATGGTGATGCTGGGGCTGCTGCTGACCCTGAAACATCCGGTGCTGCTGATGCTGCTGTTGGTTCTGATGCTGCTAACCGTGCTGAGAGTGGTGATGGTGGTGATGGTGGTGATGGTGGTGATGGTGGTGATGGTGGTGATATTTCTGCTGAGCCTGACAAAGCTGCTGCTGATGCTGCTGCTGCTGCTGCTGCTGCTGCTGCTGCTATTGATGGTGGTGATGAGGCTGCTATTGAAAACGATGGTAATCCTATCAAAGCTGCTGCTCTTGGTGCCGAAGCTGCCGATGCCTCCTTGATTTTCGCCTCCTCCTCTTCCTCCTCTTCCTGCTCTTCCTCCTCTTCCTCCTCAACACCTTCGTCTCTGGCCCCATCGTCTTCTCCATCTATTTTGCATGAATTGCTTTTCGTATCCTCCCTTGCTGCCTTTTGAGACGTCTCAAAGTTCGTATCCTCCCTTGCTGCCACGTCACACCCTTCCTTAGCTCCACCTCTATCTGCTTCATCCGTCTCTCCACCTGATTCACCCGTCCGCCTATCTACTTTATCCTTCCGTCTATCTGCTTCGCCGTTCTGCGTACCTGCTTCATCCTTCTGCTTCTCTGCTTCAGCACTGTTATCACCACCTTTCAAATCAACCTCACCATGCGACTTACCCTCACCCTCACCATCACCACCACCATCACCACCACCACCATCACCACCACCACCAGGAGTATCTGCATCCTGCCACACACCCTCCATCTCCACATCTGGTTCCCGCGCATCGCCACCCATTGCCTTGTTACTCAACCCCACCGCCCCTTCTGATTCCTCACGCGTTTGCCCACCACCAACTGCCCTTCGATCCAACTCCACCGCCCCTTCGGAATTCTCAATATTTGACCATTCAGCCGACTCAAAAGTCACCTCCTCAGCAGCAACCACCCTCTGGCTCAAACCCACCAGCATTTCTAACTCCTCAAGAGTTGACCTTCCAGTCACCTCACCAGCCACCTCCCCACCATCCAATGCCATTCGATCGAACCTCATGGCCTCCTCAGGTTCGGCACGCCACGGGCCCCCACCATTACCATCAAATCCGCCAGGCTGAGTTGGGGGAGTGAAATTGCCCTCTTCCCCCACCTCCCTGAAAGCATAAGGCTTCAGCTCCCTGTCACCCAAACAGGGATTCCAAACAAACAACAAGCGCAGAAAGGTAGAGGTGAGATTTGAATTGACTCAAGACGCAGAAGCACCTGGGAGTCCCACCTCCCTGAGAGCATCAGGCTTCAGCTCTCTGTCACCCAAACAGGGATTTCAAACAAAAAAATGCAACGAGGCCAACACATGTGCAGAAAGGTAGAGGGGATTTTTGAGTCAAGTTTTGAGGCGCCTCAGAACTAAGGTAGAGGGGGGTTTTGAGTGAACTCAAGATGCAGAAGCACCTGGAAGTTCCAACACCCTGAGTCGACTGAAGATGCAGTCGACTGAAGATGCAGTCGACTGAAGATGCAGTCGACTGGCCGCGTGAAGTGAGATGATATTCATGGCGCCCCAGATCCAACCCTCCATATCCAGTGGGAACCACAAAACAAATCATATTCGCACTGCACACTCACCCACCCACCCACCCACCCAGCCAGCCAGCCAGCCACCCGCCCACCCAACCAGCCACCCACCCACCCAACTAGCCACCCAGCCACCCACCCAGCCACCCACCTACCCACCTACCCAGCCACCCAGCCACCCACCCACCTGTGCGCGCGGTGTCCTCGGTGTAAGATGATGGCGATATACGCAGCGCAGCACAGCAGGGAGAAGGCCCCATAGACGATCATAAGGCCAGCCATGGTGGTGGCTGAGATCTGCACTTTCTCCACCATCACCGACGCTGCATTGTCACAGTTGGATGTGTTCTGATGGGGGGGTGGATGGGCGAGGGGCAGGGGGATTGGGTTTGGGAGGGGTGGGGGGTTGCGATAGGGGTTTCGAGAGTTTTTGGGGATACTTAGGTCATGGAGGGGATAGGATTGAATAGAAGGCCCCGTAGACAGTCATGAGGCCTGCCATGGTGGTTATAGAGATCTGCACTTCTCCACCATCACCGACGCTGCATTGTCACAGTTGGATGTGTTCTGATGGGGGGGTGGATGGGCGAGGGGGAGGGGGATTGGGTTTGGGAGGGGTGGGGGGTTGCGATAGGGGTTTCGAGAGTTTTTGGGGATACTTAGGTCATGGAGGGGATAGGATTGAATAGAAGGCCCCGTAGACAGTCATGAGGCCTGCCATGGTGGTTATAGAGATCTGCAATTTCTCCACCATCACCGACGCTGCATTGTCACAGTTGGACGTGTTCTGATGGGATTATGGAAAGGGATTTGCAAGAGGGTAGGACGGGTGCGGGGTGAGAGAGTAATGCGCTGCTGTACGCAGTCTGCCTGCACCTTCTCCACCAACCAAAAGAAACACATCATCAGCATGATCATACCACACATCAGCAGCAGCACGACAGTGACATGTCAGCAGCAGCAGCAGCAGCGCGACAGTGCCACGTCAGCAGCAGCAGCAGCACGACAGTGACATGTTAGTAGGAGCAGCAGCGCACCTTAATGTACATGCTATGTATGCGCTGCATATGAGGCACCAAAAAACACACACGTCAGCAGCAGCAACAGTGACACGTCAGCATTAGCACCTTAATGTACATGCTGCGAATGCGCTGCAGCTCCCCATTCTGTGCAAGCTCAAGCAGCGCCTGAGAGATGTCCGCGCCAAAGAGAGAGCCCTTCTGGAAGGCCTGATACGGGCAGAGGTGAAGACGCCAAAGATAAGAGCGGGCAGAAGAGGGGAAGGAATGCAAAGGTCAGCTCCAGCAGCGCCTGAGAGATGCCCGGCCCAAAGAGAGATCCCTTTTGGAATGCCTGACAGGGGTGTGAAGGGGGAGAGGGCAGAGAGTAAGGTGGAAGAACAAGGAGGGGAGGGGCGACTTGGTTAAGGTGAATGTGGGGGTGGAGAGAAGGAAAGGTCAGCTTCAGCAGCACATGGGAAATGTCAGCCCAGGAGAGAGAACCCCTCCGGAGTGCCTGATGGGGGCAGAGAGGGTGAAAAAAAGGTGGAAAGGTCAGCTCTAGTGCATGCGCCATCTCAGCGTTTGCCCATGCGCCGCCACTCACTTGGCAGTTCTGCGAGGCAAAGACGCTGAGGTAGGGGTCCCCGTCCACTGTTATGGCCATCGCTGTGATGAGAGCGTCTCTTGATGCTTGCCCATGCACCACCCAATGCTTACCCAAGAAACCAAGTTCTCAAGCCCCCCAGTGCCCCAAGGGTGCCCCTAGTCTCGGTGCCCCCCTTGGTGCAGCTCATGAATATGGAGTTGAGGATGTTGAAGGCATGTGACGAGCTTTGCCATACACGCAAGAGCCCATAGATGCTCCTAGATGCCCCTAGGTGCCCCCAGCGGCTCACAAAGGCGGAGTTGAGGACGTTGAAGGCCTGGGAGGCGCGGAGCATTTGGCAGTACTGCGAGGCAAAGACGTTGAGGTAGGGGTCCTCGTCCACTATCAGGGCCACGCGCTGAGAAGTGAGCGCCTCATAGTAGTCCTGCTCACTGTTCAACGGCACTAGCCGGGACTGCGGGTGGGGGATGAGGGTGGGTGGGAGGGTGGGTGGAGCACGAGAGAGAGGGAGACGTTGAGGTAAGGGGTCCTCGCCCACTACTATGGCCACTCGCTGCGATGAGATTGCCTCATAGTAGTCCTGCTCGCTGGTCAGCGGCACTAGGCGGGACTGTGGGAGAGGGACATGGGAGGGAGAAAAGGGAGGAAAGAAGGATGTGAGCGCCTTATAGTAGTCCTGCTCGCTGTTCAGCGGCATTAGGCAGGACTGTGGGCGAGGGAGATTGGAGGGAGAAAAGGGAGGAAAGAAGGATGTGAGCGCCTTATAGTATTCCTGCTCGCCGTTCAGCGGCACAAGCCGGGACTGTGGGAGAGGGAGATTGGAGGGAGAAAAGGGAGGAAAGAAGGATGTGAGCGCCTTATAGTATTCCTGCTCGCCGTTCAGCGGCACAAGCCGGGACTGTGGGAGAGGGAGATTGGAGGGAGAAAAGGGAGGAAAGAAGGATGTGAGCGCCTTATAGTATTCCTGCTCGCCGTTCAGCGGCACAAGCCGGGACTGTGGGAGAGGGAGATTGGAGGGAGAAAAGGGAGGAAAGAAGGATGTGAGCGCCTTATAGTATTCCTGCTCGCCGTTCAGCGGCACAAGCCGGGACTGTGGGAGAGGGAGATTGGAGGGAGAAAAGGGAGGAAAGAAGGATGTGAGCGCCTTATAGTATTCCTGCTCGCCGTTCAGCGGCACAAGCTGGGACTGTGGGCGAGGGAGATTGGAGGGAGAAAAGGGAGGAAAGAAGGATGTGAGCGCCTTATAGTATTCCTGCTCGCCGTTCAGCGGCACAAGCCTTTTGAGACGTCTCAAAAGTATTCCTGCTCGCCGTTCAGCGGCACAAGCCGGGACTGTGGGCGAGGGAGATTGGAGGGAGAAAAGGGAGGAAAGAAGGATGTGAGCGCCTTATAGTATTCCTGCTCGCCGTTCAGCGGCACAAGCCTTTTGAGACGTCTCAAAAGTATTCCTGCTCGCCGTTCAGCGGCACAAGCCGGGACTGTGGGAGAGGGGCAGGGCAAGGCAACAGGACGGGAAGGAGAGAAGATACGAGGGCAGAGTGAGAAAAACGCAGGGGGCGACAAGATGAGAGTGCCTCATAGTATTCCTGCTCGTTGTTCAGAGGTGACTTTTGAGTCGACTCATAAGTCACCAGGTGACTAGGTGACTTTTGAGTCGACTCAAAAGTTTGCCCGCTGACTAGGTGACTTGAGTAGACTCAAAAGTCACCTCTTTTGAGTCGACTCAAGAGTGAGAAAAATGCAGGGGGCGACAAGATGAGAGTGCCTCATAGTAGTCCTGCTCGTTGTTCAGCGGCACTAGGCGGGACTGCGGAAGAGGGGACGGGAGAGAGGAACACAAGAGAGAGCGGGACAAGAGGGAGGGGGACATGATGTGCTGAACTGATGTTGTCGGAGGGCCGTACCAGAGGGACCACGAGCTGCAGGAGATACACGTAGACAAATGAGCCGCACTGATAGATAGATACGCCACCTTAGAGAATTCTCAAAGTGGTACTTTCTTCTGTGCTGTGGGTGGCAGGCCGTACCGGAGATACACCAAGCTGCACGAGATAACCGTAGACAAAAGAGCCGTACTGATAGCCCACCATCACCGAGGACGAGATTTGAGTCAACAAGAAGATTAAAAAAAAAAAGTATCTACCACCCACTCAAATATCGTACCGGAGAAAACCCAAGCTGCACGAGATAGCCGTAGACAAAGGAGCCGTACTGATAGCCCACCATCACGTCGGACCCTGCTGCATCGTATATGCTCTGAAAGGGTGAGGGAGAGGGGGAGAGAAAGACGGAGAGAGGGTGAAAGAGAAAAGTGAGAGGGGGTATACTGGCGTGAGTGAAGGAGCCGTACTGATAGCCCACCATTACGTCGGACCCTGCCGCATCGTATATGCTCTGAAAAGATCAGTGGGAAACAGGGAACGCGGCAGAAAAGCAGAAAAAAAGGAGAGTGTATGCTGGCAGAAGCGAAGGAGCCGTACTGATAGCCCACCATCACCTGGGACCCTGCCGCTTCATAGATGCTCCGTGAGAGAGGGAGATGGGGAAGCGGGGGTGTGATGGGTAGCGTGAGGGAGCAAGAGGGAGAGAATGGAGAGAGAAAGGGGTGTCAAAACTTGGAATGACACGTGGAACGAACAGATATATTGGGAGCCGCAGCTTCTTTTAAATTGTTTCGCAGCTCAGAAAATTCGAGGGGAAAAAAAAAAAAAAAAAAAGGAAAGAAAAGCATGGACGCACGGATATTGGGAGCTGCAGCTTTTGGAGAACGAGAGCAGCAGTGAGGGCGGCGATGTAGGAGCTGGAGACGACAATCATGAGCGCAAACCAGGTGACTGTGAGTATCCGACCGAGAGACGTCTTGACTATGCCCCTCACTGATCGTGGCAGGGGGATATGGGAGGAGGGTTGACGGGGAAGGGGGGATAAGGGAGGAGAAGAGAAGTGGGGGAGTGGAGAATGAGGGCTGCAGTGAGGGTGGTAACGTAGGAGCTGGAGACGACAATCATGAGCGGCCTAGAGACGTCTTGACTATGCCCCTCACTCACTGATGGCAAGTGGAAGGGGTGGGTGGAGGGAGGAGAGAATGAGAGCTGCAGTGAGGACGACAACGTAGGTAGGAACTAGGGACGACACGACATTCGTGAGGGTGAACTAGGAAACTGGAGAAGAAAAAAAAAAAAAAAAAAAAAAAAAAAAACCGCGAAGTTCTAATATTCTCCAAAAATGTGCTGCGGAAATTGTGGATGCCACATGAAGCGGCATTGTGCGTTTCGATCGAATCGGACAGCTGGTTACGGTTGGCTTATTTATTCATACCTTTTGCGAATCCAACTGGAGCAAAGGACATCCTGTACGCACACACCAACAGAGAGCGGAAGAGGGAGGGAAAGCACAAATAGCTTGAGCCAGGTCATGTAGGGGAAGTTACTACAAATGTTAGTAGTACAGGATGTCATATGTACAGCTGACTACAGCAAAGAAAAAGAGCGAAAGAGGGAGGGAAACCATAAGCAACTTGATCCAGGACATGTAGGAACTTACTACTTACGAATTCATATGTACAGCTGCTGACTACAGCAAAGTCTGATAAAAAGGAAACCCTCTCCTCACACACACCATATGTCCTCCCATGAATCACCCATCATTCCCCCTCCTCCTCCTCCCATATTTCCCACACCCACCAGACGTCCTCTCCTCACACCCACCCACCACATGCATGCACCCACCATATGTACGACATGACTTCTTGATGCGGCCGGTCATACTCCCGCCGCAGCAGGTGGGCGGGGTGGGAACTTTCCAGGAAGCAGAGCACAAGGCCGGAGAAAACAATAAGGCAGGCGAGAAGCAGCCACATTTGCCAGGAGAAGGGGCGGTAGGAGATCCAGGGGTTGTCGTTTGGTGCCACGTAGGACACCAGGCTCAGCCCTGATTGCTGCTCGGGTGGGAAAGAAAGAAGGGAGAAGGGGAGGGGGGAGGGTGAGGGTAAAGAGGGGACAGGGAGGAACGATAATGTGAGAGAGTGACAATACCAGAGAGTGACAATATGAGAGAGTGACAATGTGAGAGAGTGACAATGTGAGAGTGACAATGTGAGAGAGTGACAATGTGAGAGAGTGACAATGTGAGAGAGTGACAATGTGATGAACGAAATGGCAATGAGACTAAACTACGTTTTGAGACGGCTCAAAACTCGGAATGGCTATGAGACAAAATTATGAGAAAAAACTATGAGACAGCATGAGATGAACGGCTTCGCTCCGGAAATCAATGGCTTCACTAGACTAGGTTATGAGATGGCATGGATTAGATAACATGCTTGGATGAGGACAGTGAAAGCAACTTTAGAAGTTTCTCAAAAACTAGATATAAGACAGCATGAGAGAACATACTTGGATGGGGATGGTGAACGAGGTGACGTTTGAGGGGAGCTGAGAGAACGTACTTGGATGGGAACGGTGAAATCAACGGCCTCGCTGCGGAAATTGAGCACAGCAATGTCGCCAATGGCTCCATCGTATGTCTGCAGTGCATGCACACACACACGCAGGAAAACACACAGGCACACACACAAACAGCACACACAGGGTAGGAATGGTGAAATCGACGGCTTCACTGCGGAAATTGAGCACCGCAGTGTCACCTATGGCTCCGTCGTACGTCTGCAGTGCATGCACCCCCACACCCACCCACACAGAGCACGTGCACAACAGACATGGCACACACGACACATGTACACACACACACAGCACACGTGGCACGCATGGCACCACGAGCACACGCATGGCACCACGAGCACACGCATGGCACCACGAGCACATGCATGGCACCACGAGCACATGCATGGCACCACGAGCACATGCATGGCACCACGAGCACATGCATGGCACCACGAGCACATGCATGGCACCACGAGCACATGCATGCACACAAACACTTGAATAAGGAAACGGGAGCAGCTGATCTGTAAGTGATGGTGTGCGAGTGAAGGTGCAGGCAACCCCACACTGCAGAATTTTGAGACGTCTCCACAACTCGCATGCAACCCCACACTGCAGAAACTCATGTGCACCATCACACTCACGACTGCACGACTGCACAACCTCACATGCGACATACACATGCATGCTGCATGCGCATCCCACTCACATGGTTGGCCACAGCATACACCATCTCAGTGTAGCTACGAGTCGCATCGCCCTCCCCAAACTGCATAAACTACAGAAGTATGCATGCATGCATGTACGTTGCATGCTGCATGGGCATCCCTCACTCACATGGTTGGCCACAGCATTACACCATCTCCGAGTAGCTGGGAGTGGCGTCTCCCTCCCAAAACTCCACACACGTGCGAGCGAGTATCCGCACAGGTGAGCTGCATGTGAGCACGCTGCATGTGAGCACGCTGCATGTGAGCACGCTGCATGTGAGCACGCTGCATGTGAGCACGCTGCATGTGAGCACGCTGCATGTGAGCACGCTGCATGTGAGCACGCTGCATGTGAGCACGCTGCATGTGAGCACGCTGCATGTGAGCACGCTGCATGTGAGCACGCTGCATGTGAGCACGCTGCATGTGAGCACGCTGCATGTGAGCACGCTGCATGTGAGCACGCTGCATGTGAGCACGCTGCATGTGAGCACGCTGCATGTGAGCACGCTGCATGTGAGCACGCTGCATGTGAGCACGCTGCATGTGAGCACGCTGCATGTGAGCACGCTGCATGTGAGCACGCTGCATGTGAGCACGCTGCATGTGAGCACACTGCATGTGAGCACGCTGCATGTGAGCACGCAGGTGTGACCCTCACTCACATTGTTCACCACAGCATGGACCATCTCAGTATAGCTGGGAGTGGCGTCGCCCTCCCCAAACTGCAGAAACTCGTACGGCAGCTCACATGCAAAACCTACATGCACGCATGCACGCTGTAAAATACACACATCCATGCTGCATGCTGCATGCGCATCCCACTCACATTATTGGCCACAGCATACACCATCTCAGTGTAACTCGGAGTGGCGTCGCCCTCCCCAAACTGCAGAAACTCGTACGACAGCTCGTATGGCAGCCGCGCCACTGCCGCCCGGAACAGATCCAGACAAAACCCTGTGAAGCGGTCGTTTCCCTGGGCGGCGGTGGGCGGCAGGATCTCGACAAACTGGTTGTAACCTCTCTTGTTGGGCACGGCGATCCGCAGCGGGTCCTGTTGGCGGGCCAGCCACCCTGAGGGCGCCTGGGGAGAAGTAGGGAAGGAGGGATAGATGGAAGGGGGAATCAGGCGAATAAGGGAGGCAGAAGAAAGGATGGGATGGGCTCATATGATTGGCATCCACAGCGGGTCCTGTGGTCGGGCTAGCCACCCTCCTGAAGGGCCTGTAAGGGATGGAGGGATGCGGGTGGAGGAGAGGGGATGACTTAACTTTTGAGTCGACTCAAAAGCAGACTTTAGCACTGAGGAGTTTCAGGCTTTGTGCCAACACCCATCATATTGTCATCGCATGGCTGTCTGTCATCGTATTGCTTTTTGAGGCGCCTAAAAAGTCAACACACAACCCAGCGTTGCTGTCCACACCAAGCAAGCCCCCCCTGAGTCTGTGCTAACACTAAAAAGTCCCAGGCTGACAGACCTTTTCAAGATTGCCTGGAAACAGCAGGTTGAGTGTGGTAGAGCTGTTGGCCTGCACTGCTGGGGCTAGTGGGTCCTGCAGGGAGGAGAAAATGGGGCATGAAGAAAAGGGGGCATGAAGAGAAGGGGGCATGAAGAGAAGGGGGCATGAAGAGAAGGGGGCATGAAGAGATGAGACACATGGCGGTGGGAATTGGTGCTTTTGTTAAGATTCTCCAGAACTACATGCAGCACGGGAAAGAGCCAGCTGAGAGAGCCAGAGCTGTTGGCCTGCTGCACTGCTGATGCTACGCTAATGGGCCTGGCAGGAGGGGAGAGAAGGGGCAATGATGAGAGGAGATCCGTACTGATGAGAGGGGATAGGTGAAGAGAAGGAAAGTGCCTCAAAAGATGACTCACATCGGAGGTGGTGAAGCCCTTCCCCATGCGCCAATACCCCACAGTGACGAACTCGCTGCCCCGCACATTCAGCAGCTGCACCGACCCGTCCTTCACGTCCCCTTCGGGGGTGAGTCGAACCCTGCAGTGCACATGGCGGGTGGATGGGTGGATGGGTGGGTGGGTGGGTGGGTGGGTGGGTGGGTGAGGGAAAAGGAGCAATTTTGCAACGATGAACTCACTGCCTCTCACGTTCAGCAGCTGAACCGACCCGTCCTTCACATCCCCCTCCGGGGTGAGTCGAGCCCTGCAGTGCACACGGTGAATGGGTGGGTGGGTGGGTGGGTGTGGGAAACGGAGAAATTTTGCAACGATGAACTCGCTCCCCCGCACATTCAACAGCTGCACCGACCTGTCTTCACATCCCCCTCCGGGGTGAGTCGCACCCTGCAGTGCACACGGTGAATGGGTGGGTGGGTGTGGGAAACGGAGCAATTTTGCAACGATGAACTCGCTCCCCCGCACATTCAACAGCTGCACCGACCTGTCTTCACATCCCCCTCCGGGGTGAGTCGCACCCTGCAGTAGTGCACATGGTGAGTGGGTGGGAGGGTGGGGGGAAAAAAACAAGTCTTGAGACATACCATCCCATGCCATGCCATCCCATGCCATGCCATGCCAAGGACATTGTGGGTGGGTGAGGAAAAGGGAGCAGCAAGTCTTGCGACGCCTCAAACCCAGTAACTGATGGCCATGAGCCTGCTGCCCCTCAGGGGTCAGCTGCTGCTGCACTACTCCCTGCCTCACCCTGCCTCACCCTGCCTCACCCTGCCTCACCCTGCCTCACCCTGCCTCACCCTGCCTCACCCTGCCTCACCCGCTCACCTGCCTGTGGCGCCCATCACAGACGCCTGGAGCAACGCATCCCGCAGCAGCGGCCCAACTGAGGGAAACAGGGCTGCTTGCTTCTGACTCAATAAGTCAAACAGTCACCTTGCTTGCGCTAACCCTTAGGCCCCTCCCTCACCTGCCTGTGGCGCCCATCACAGACGCCTGGAGCAGCGCATCCCGCAGCAGCGGCCCAACTGAGGAGGGAGGGGAGGTGGTGGGTGGGTGGGTGGGTGGGCGGTGTGAGAATGTGGGTGGATGGGTGGGTGGGTGGGTGGGTGGGATGATGGTTGGGATGAGGTATGCATGAGAGGTGAAGGAACAGGGCCAGTGTGACTAGGAGGTTATGCGTGCGTGTGGTGGGTGAGAGAAGGGGTGAGTGGGAAGGGAGTAAAATAGGGGCTTGGTCAAAATAGGGGGAGAAGGAAAAGAAGGAGAACGAGGTAGGACGAAGCCCCATTCAAGCCGATCACATCGCACTCAAGCCACTCACAATTGCTCTTTTGAGACGTCTCAAAAACTCACTCATTTCACGTGGACACTCACAATTGCTCTGAGCTGCGCCAGACAGAATGGGGATAAGCGAGCTGGCAGGATCGACAGGCGCCACCACAGGCATGGGCATATGAGCCCCACTCACACGGCACTCAACCCACTCACACCGCACTGAACCCACTCACAATTGCTCCGAGCTGCGCCAGAAAGAATGGGGATAAGCGAGCTGGCAGAATCACCAGGCGCCACCACAGGCATGGGCACATGGGCCCACGTGCCAGGCTCCTGGCCAGCAGCGGAACTGTTACTAACGAAGACAGAACCTGCTGCAGCGGCACTGCTGCTACCGTCGCTACTGCTACTGTTCCCCTCAGCACCGGCAGCACCAGCAGCACGAGCTACACCACCACTTTCTACCCCTGGGAAACTCCCGCTGCCAGCCCCATCCTCGTTATAAGCCCCTGGGCCTTGGGAGGGAGGCACAGGCTCGACCAGGGAGTTCTGAGAGTCAGCGCCGTCGGTGGTGTCGCCAGAGAGCACGTTGTGCACTGCCTGAGCCACCAGCAGCAGCGCATCGTATGCTGCCAGTGAATACACGTCCGCCTGGGGAGAGAGGAGGGGTGAAAGGAAAAGAGAGAGTTGGCGCCGTCGGTGGCGTCGCCTCAGATCAGAGCACGTTGTGTACCGTTTGAGCCACCAGCAGCAGCGCGTCGTATGCCGCCAGTGAATAAACGTCTGCCTGTGGTGAGAGGAGGAGAGGTGACAAGAGAGAGTAGGGCATCAGGGCGTCGCCAGAAAACACGTTGTGCAGTGCTTGAGCCAGCAGCAGCAGCGCGTTGTATGCCGCCAGTGCATACACGTTCACCTGGGAAGGCGATGAGGGAAGGGTGGAAGGAAGGGTGGAAGGAAGGGTGGATACAGAGTAGTGGGAAATGAGGGCAATGGGCTGAGCATTGAGCCAGCAGCAGCATGGCATTATATGCTGCCAGCACACATACCCGCCCGACAAGAGTGGGAGAAAAGCTATGTGACTATAACGATGTCTTGAGACCTCTCAACACTCACCTTGGGAGAGGAGGGCCCCTCCTGCCCCGACATGTGCTCCTTCCACTCTGCTTTGAAACTATTTCACAACAAAGCTCTTTGTGATTCCCTCAGCAATACATGCAGAGAAACATAGATAACTTACCTTTGGAGAAGAAGGGCCTTCCTGCCCCGACATGTGCTCCTTCCACTCAGCTCGGAAGACCGTGAGAGCCGGCAAGGGCGGGACAAAGGACGCCATGGATATGAGGCCCTGCCAGGGAGGAGAGAAGGAGAGGGGGGAGGTAAGGGTGCAAGGTGGTAATTTGTGAGGCACCTCAAAAATCCTTCCACTCAGCTCGGAAGACTGTGAGAGCCGGCAAGGGCGGGACAAAGGACGCCATGGATATGAGACCCTGCCAGAGACGAGGGGGAGGGGGAAGGCAGGTGAGGGGGAAAGGAGGGACAATAGACGCCCTGAATATGAGGCCCTGCCAGGGATGAGAGGGAGAGGAGGAAAAGATGGGTGAGTGGAGGAAGGAAAAATGGTATGAGGTGGGAACAGACAAGAGTATGAGCCCCTGGGCGAGACAATAAATGCCATGGATATGAACCCCTGGCAGGGAAGTGAAGAGGGAGGGGTGGTACGACAGGTGAGTGAGAACGAAGGGAATAATGGCATGAGGTGGGAAAAAGCAAGAGTATGAGCCACTGGGCGAGGGCAGGGGAAAAGGTGGCACGGAATGATTTTCGAGGCGCCTCAAAAGGCGGCAAGGAATGAGCCCCTGCCAGGGACGAGAAGGAGGAGGAAGTGGGGGATAGGGCCGGGCAGGGTGGAAGGGGTATAAACAACTGCACTGGGGGCATGGAAGAGGGTATCATGATACATCCTATCATATCATGTGTGTACCTGCACTTGCGGCATGAAAGAGGCAGTGGCACCATCATATGTGAAGGACTGGAGAGACGTCGGCTCAGTCGTGATCCACACGTAGCCGCGGCTGAACATTCCCAACTCCACCGCTGGTGGAAGAAGAAAAGGGATGGGTGTGGGGGGGTGGGGGGAGGATCGAAGGGAGGTAGGGAACCGAGTGAATGGAGAGAGGTGGGATCCGCTGTGATTCACACGTAGCCGCGGCTGAACATTCCCAGCTCCACCGCTGGTGGAAGAGAAGAGAAGCAGCGTGGGTGGAGGGGAGGGCGCATGGAAGGAATAAAAAAGGGGCAAGTAGGGTGTTGAGTAGCTGGGCTCCCTGGTGTGGTGATCCACACATAGCCGCGGCTGAACATTCCCAGCTCCACCGCTGGTGAATAAGGAGGTGGGGGTGGGGGTGGGAGAGGAGGGTGGGGTGACTTCAGGGAGGTGGGCCCCGTGGTGATCCACAGGTAGCCGCGGCTGAACATGCCCAGCTCCACCGCTGGTGAATAAGGAGGGTGGCAGGCAGGGGGATTAACAGGATAGGTGATTAAAGGGGTGAGCTCCGTGGTGATCCACACGTAGCTGCGGCCGAACATTCCCTGCTCCATCGCTGGTGGGGGAAAGAGAGTGGAGGAGGCGGGGTTTAGGGGAGGCAGGGGGTTGCATAGCCACGTGTTTAGGGGAGGCAGAGGGTTGCATAGCCACGTGATTAGGGGAGGCAGAGGGTTGCATAGCCACGTGATTAGGGGAGGCAGAGGGTTGCATAGCCACGTGATTAGGGGAGGCAGAGGGTTGCATAGCCACGTGATTAGGGGAGGCAGAGGGTTGCATAGCCACGTGATTAGGGGAGGCAGAGGGTTGCATAGCCAGGTGTGAAGTGAGTGAGCGTTCGGAAGAAGGAGGTGGGCTCGATGCTGATCCACACATAGTCGCGGATAAACACACTATATGCTTAGCGCGCACCTGTTTTGAGCACGGCGTCAGGGCCATCGCCCCCCGCATGGATGATCATGACTGACGTGCGCACTTGCTGCATATAGTGTTGCTGCTACAGCACGCCTACCTACAGGGTACCTATGCTGGAGCCTATTGCACACCTGCTTTGAGCACGGCGTCAGGGCCGTCGCCCCCTGCATGGATGATCATGACTGACGTGCGCACTTGCTGCAGCTTCTCCAGAGAGGAGCGCGCGTCGTCATACTCCCTCCCCCGCTTCAATGCTACACGCGCCACTACCGGGTGTTGCCAGCCCTGGTGGAGAAGGAAGAAAGGAGGGGGGAGAGGGGGGAGGGGAGAAGGAAGAAAGGAGAGGGGAGAGGGGGGAGGGGAGAAGGAAGAAAGGAGAGGGGAGAGGGGGGAGGGGAGAGGGAAGATGGGGGAGGGCAGGGAAGAGAACAAGGGCGTCCAGTAACCATCAATCGAATCACTGACATGCCTCTCGAATCAAGAGTCTTACCACCTGAACTGATGATTCGCCCATCTGATGATTCACCCATCTCATGATTCACCCACCTGATGATTCACCCACCTGATGATTCACCCATCTGCCTGAACTGATAAATCCTCTTTCCTTTTTCGTTTGGTTCAAGGCATACCCATCGCGCATACCCATCTGTTCTGCAGAATGTTTTCGAGAACGCTGATGCCGTTCCGCCCAAACCGGTCGTCTGTGAAGATGGCAACGAAGTGCCTGTAGCGGTACAGCGCCAGCAGGTCTGGGAGCAGAGGGAAAGGCGAAAAGGGGCGGGGGTAAGGAAAGAGGGTGGGAGGGGGGAAAGAAGAGCGGTCGTCTGTGAAGATGGCAACAAAGTGCCTGTAGCTGTACAGCGCCAGCAGGTCTGCATGCAAATAGCAGGAACGGCCACGGGGAGAGGAGAGGGAGGCAGAGTGGGGGGAGGGAAAAGCAAACCGGTCGTCTGTGAAGATGGCAAGCGGTACAGCGCCAGCAGGTCTGGGAGCGACAGGAATGGCGAAGGGGTGGGGGGGACGGGTGGTGGGATGGGGGAAATAAGGGGGGAGGAGAGGACGTGATGAGGCCGAGACGAGGGTTTGGGCAATGAAGTGGTTGCAGCGGTACAGCGCCAGGAGGTTTGGGCAATGAAGTGGTTGCAGCGGTACAGCGCCAGGAGGTTTGGGCGCGACAGGAATGACCAAGTGGGGCGAGAATGGGGAGGGAGGGAGAGTGGTGGCGGGGAGGGGGGTCGGGGTAAGAAAAGAAATTAAGGCAAAGTGTTAGGGTCACGAAGTGCTTGTAGGGGCACTACTAGGCACGGTGCGCGCATGAAGTAGGGCCACTGGCGCGAGGTGGTGAGTGAGGTGCGGAGGGGATCTTGAAGTCTCCAGAATGGGCTGAAGCAGCAAGCACACCTAGAAATTTATCTGTGCCATACCCCCAAGTATTGCCATTGCTTTGCTCTAGCAGCGCCTCTCACTCACCTGCTATTGCCTCCATTTTGGTGGCATCGCTGGGTACAGTGCGCATGAAGTAGGGCCACTGGCGCGAGGTGGTGAGGAGGGGGTCGGTGGCGGAGTAGGAGAGCAGGGGGATGCGCGTTGTGCCCGCCAGCCCGCTCAGCAGCGCCACCTGGCTGCTCGTGGTGGGGCCGATGATGGCTATCGGCCTCTCCTCCAGCATCAGGTGCAGGCCTGTGGGGGGGAGGGGAGGTGGGGAGGAAGGGGCGGAAAGGGGAGGGGAAGCGGTTGGGAGGAGGGACCTCTGAGTCGACTTGACTTGATGTACAATGCACCCATTGCCTACTTCTTGATTTTTGAGTCGACTCAAAAATCGACTTATCACATGAGCTGAATTGACTTTTATGGGGATGTATAATGCCTCCATTGCCAACTTCTTCTTGAATTTTTATTTCACTTGTGTTTCCTTCACTTGACTGACGTCTGAGTCGACTCGAATTTTGTGTGTGTGATTATCAGCTCTGCGCGCGCACCTGCCATTTGGCCAGGGAAAGGTGTGTATGTGCAGTCTTTTGAGGCGCCTCAAAATACTTTTGAGGCGCCTCAAAAGTCAGCTCTGCGCGCGCACCTGCCATTTGGCCGGGGAAGGGCGTATATGTGCAGTTGGCTGCAACCAGCTTGATCCTGACGCCGGGCAGCAGAGAGGAATCGTTGCTCACATGATGAACCGCCAGCTGAATGGCTGCACAGGGATGAAAAGAGATTCAAAACGGTGAGCGTTCGGCATTATATCTGGAAAAATAGAGGGATGGGTGGATGCCAGGTTGAGAGAGGGATGGGTGGAAGCCAAAGGGGAGAGAGGGATGGGTGGAAGACGGGGGGAAGAGGAGAGGGATGGGTGGAAGGAGAAATCATGACTGCAGGGGAGGGAGGGGGTCCTCATGCCCTAAAAGGGACGACGGACGCGGAATGTTGGCGGAATTCAAGTCTGGCGTCAGATTCAACAAACGGCTGAGCGCGACAGAGCGTCTTATCAAAGCAGCCTGTGCAAATGAGCGTCGGTCAGAGCAGCGGCTCAACGTGCCATGCGAGAGCTGTCGTCCGACGACTGACACGTGGATGATTGTTAACATTTGAGAACTCTCAAAAGTAATACCAATATTGCTGTCGTCCGACGACTGACACGTGGATGATTGTTGTCATTTGGGTGAGTGACTTTTGAGGCGCCTCAAAAGTCGTCCGACGACTGACACGTGGATAATAGGTTACATTTGGGAGAGTGACTTTTGGGTCGGCGACCCTTACTACTAGGTCCCATTTTGACCTTGAAAACGAGATACCCGTAATTTACGCAACGAGAAATTAAGCTTATGATTGACAATCTGCAGGATTTCGATCAGTCCGAATAAGAATACGATGGTCCGAAACGACGTTCACGCGACGCAATCTCATCAACCTAAGGCCGACAAGATCTAAAGGCCCTGATCGGAAAGGGTAACCCGGTAACCGAGAATGCACCGAAACGCACATCATGGAGTAGATCTTCTGACCCCGGCCGGCATAACGCCTAGATGGTGGCCAATATAGAAAGCTCGTGAGCTCAATGAGAGACGTTGTTACTGAATCTGAAATTGTTACTGAATCTGACATTGTTACTGCGAGACTACATTGGTTCCTGAATCTGGACCTGCGTTCGGTCCTCGCGTCTCTCACCGGAAAAGAAGGAAACCCCGTCGGCCGTGTCGAGCGGAACGAGGCATCCTATCGTTATCTCTGACGGAAAATAGTTCTTCTTGGACGATAACTTAGACGGAACGGTACCATTCCGCGTCTCTACCCCTTCTCGCTGCTGCCGGACAGGAACGTCAGCCCAGACGGCCTTGCAAATCGACGCAACGAGGAGAACAAGGGTTATCTGGAGCAGCAGGAAACAAGCCTGCGGCGACCCCGAAGGTCGATGTTGTCTTGACATTCTGGCATTCTCCTGACGTGACAGCTAGTCCGACTGGGATAGTATTGACCCAAACGAGCAAAAATAAGTTGTCTCAATGTCCAGGGTGAAATCTTGGGAACCTCGCCGCCATGAAACTAAGAAAATGTGGTTGCACTGCTGCTATGCTATCCTCAGTAAACTACAGCATGTTTGCTGTTCCAACCACCTCTCATACTCTTGTCGCACTTGCTTTTTCTTCATTGTTTTTCCATTCACATCCATTCAAGTGAGCATGAAGTGAAAGTGGAGCTGGGTGGATCTGAGCTTTTGGCGGTGTGATGATGGGAGGAATGGAGAAACCTGTACAACAGTGGCTGCTGGCAACAGTTTATATACAACAGTGGCTGCTGGCAACTTGAGAGTTGGGACTGGGAAAGGAATGGAAGAAGCCATAACATAGCACCTAAGTCTCCCACATAACAGCCGAGAAGACCGACTGTTGCTAAAATCGAGTTTTTCACATGCGTGGTTGCCCTTTCTCAACGTTCTGCTTTCGAAAGTTCCTGCATGATCTGTGGGAGGGACCTCCATCACGAAAGGGCCTCCCGGAATGGGAGAATATGCCAAAAGTAACCAAATTGGGACTCAGTAACGTGAATGGAAAAAAAAAACGCATACGGTCACTTTATGGGGTTTCCTGACGGGTTTGGTAAGTGGGGTCACGGATTCAGTCACTAACAACAGGTGAAAAATCACGCGAATGGTCACACATGGAGACTCAACAAAATTCCCGCTCGCGCCTAACCAATCTGCTAACTTCTAAAAAAAACTAAAACCCAATCGGAATCGGATGCGGTTTGGGAACGGATCAACCCTAAACACCTGGCGAGTTACGTGTTTAGGGTTGATTCATCAGAAAATGCATCCAGGTTCTTTTGGGGTTTCATTTTGTTCTGGCGGGAGTTTCATCTATGACCATTCGCGTGTTTTTTTTACCACTTGATAGTAACTGATTACGTGAAACGTTTTATCAGTCCCGTGAAAACACCCTTTGCAGTGACCGTACCCTTTATTTTTTACCAAATATGTTATCGAGTCCCATGATGGTTACGAATGGCATATTTTCCCGAAATCGTGTTTATTGGTCAACCTTTGGTACGAAGTGCTGTAGGTCCAGTATGGACGGCTCTTACATTTTATGTACAGCCTGTACGACGAGAAAAAATATGAGCCGTTCATACTGAACTTTCTGGCGACTTGCCGTTCAAGTTGCCGTTTTCCGGCAACTTAGCTGAACGATTTTTCCATACACCCTGAAAAGTTCGCCTGAAAAGCAGCTTCAAGCCCTGCCCGAATACACAAACTGTTGCGCTACAGTCTGACTCGTCAAGTGGGTCCGGTCCGGATCCCACGGCACGATGAAACCAAGCCGAGGTGCAGTCGTTTGGGCCCAGTTCGGTGTGATTCAAATATTTCAGTGAGCACTCGCTAGTAACAACCCCGTTTCTCAACGTACCAACTCAATGGCCACTCGTACACCAATTAACTTAGAGAATACATAACCGACATACGGTGCAATCTCGAGGGAGAAGACAAGAGCTTTCCACCTCGACGAGGACCTGCTCAAACAACGGTTGAGTACAATGCTATGCATTTCAAAAGGGTTTGATATTTGTACCGCTCTAAACCGCTAAATATGTGTCTGAATACTGACAGTTACACGTGAACTCCTGGCAATACCCCAACAGTGAAGGGCTATATTCTGCACTGCATTCGGCTGTGTGGTGAAAGCAGGATCATCGTGGCTTCACCATGACCTATCCCTTCTATCCTCCCTCACCATGTGCGATTCCACAAATTCCATGATACTTCTCGTTAGCCATCAGCAATGGCCTCAGCAAGCACGAAGAAAACGAGAGTCGTCAAACCTAACGCGGAAATGCTGTCCGCCGGATGGAAGCGTGTCCCGGCGACGTCATCCCAGCATACCTGGTTTTGGAATGAAAATAACCATTCTACTCCGTAATCTGTCAACTAAACGCACGAGTGTCGGGAACAAGCGTAAATCTCTAATTCTGCTGGCTAACATAACAGATTTGAGCATGACAATTGGGACATGAGAGCCCTCGCGTGGCTGCACTTCGAGAATGCCTGTGGAGCATTTTGCCTCTCGCCATATCGACAGTCCCGCTTCCCTCCAAGCTTCCCTCTCACGACATACAGGCCCGGCCGAAGCGAAAACTTCTTCCTGCTGCCATACCGTCGTGCCGTTCCACCGGTGCGTGTTCCCGGCGTAATAAGAACCCTGATCGCCGTACAACCTTTCAATAGTACGACTGTGTCTCGAATTGCTCCATTGACGCAAGAAGCTTCTGAGGAAAGTGCAGTTCAGCGACTCGCGATGGCCAAGGCGAATGATTTGTCGGATTCGCCTCAGCGGGAAACAGCGATTCTGTGGTTCCGCAAGGGCCTGCGACTCCACGATAACCCCGCTCTGCTGGCGGCTTGCGGACTCGACGAAAACCGAAACGAATCAGATGGCGAAAGTAACAAACCAAGTTCGGATTCACAAAAACTTCGCTCTGGGTTTGCGAAGGCGAGTGAAATAATACCTACCGATGGCATGAAGTCAGGTCCTGTTGCCACCACAAGCAATAAACTCAGCAGCAACACCGCCTTTCCCAAAACCGAGCCTGGCAGTTCCAGCAACAGCAACCTCGATTCTGCCGAGCGAGCAACAAATGCCACGTCAGCAATTCGTCAGCTCTGTCCCGTGTTCGTCCTAGACCCGTGGTTTCTGGCTCCCGACCCCTCGGCGCCATCTCCCGGATCAGCTCGCGTGGGAATCAACCGGATTCGGTTTCTGCTGGACTGCCTGAACGACCTGGACAGGTGATTACTTACAGAAAATGTGTGTGCGCTTATTTCTGATCAACGTCGTAGTTAGGCGGAAGTTTGGTCTTTCCCACCCAAGGTTTGCCTCGTGCTCTTCTGTTAAGGTTTGCCTTCATGCCCCTCTGTCTCACCAGCCAGCTGAAGGCTCGGGGTTCTCGGCTTATACTCGTTAAAGGCGACCCCACCATAATAATTCCGAAGCTGGTGAAACAGGTAAGCAGTCGCAAAGTTCAAATATCACTTTCTGATGTTTTCTATCGTGAAATGCTTCAATTTCTATATTTTTTCTTTATGCTACCGCTCACCATCTTACAGTGGGGAGCAAAGGCGCTGTGCTTTGAGTTTGACACCGAGCCATATGCCCTGACTCGGGATGGCAAGATCAAGGTGGGTTGCATGGCATGGCATTATATGAGTACACCCTCTCCCTTTCCCCTCAACCCCTTCCTTCACATGTCGTCTGCATCCGCTGCTTGCATCCCTCCTGCTTGCGTCCCTCACCCAGTTTCACCCTAACCCAACCTCATCCTCCTCATCCTATCCCCTTTCCCCCCAGGCGAGCATGCAGGAAGCTGGGGTGCGGGTGGTAACGCCAGTCAGCCACACCATCTTCGATCCTGCTAAAATCATCAACAAGGTGTTTGTTTCTGTGTTGGACAACCCATTTTTACATCTACACAACCTTTTGTCTTGGTGCACAGAAGGGGGATGTCTAGAAGTAGCGAGCGTCCACCCACCCTTGTTGCCTGATCAAATGTACAGAACTTATTCATTGTTTTCTGTAAGAAACGATTCCTTTATCCAGTCTTCCTGTTTGGTTATATTTTATCCTCCCTTCTTCCCTCCCCTTCTCTTCGCTCCCTCACTCGCTCCCCACTCTCCGTGCTCTCTCAGAATGGAGGCAAACCCCCTCTTACCTATCAGGCTTTCTGCAAACGAATAGGACAACCCTCACCGCCCGTCGGATTCGCTCCAGACAAACTACCGCCCCTGCCATCCCACCTCGCTCAATGCGTGACTGTTAAAGCAGAAACAGACCTAGTTCCAGGAGGAGCAGTAGAGGAAGCAGGGAAGTTTGACTATATCGAGGTCTTTGAAGCAGTGCCTACATTGAGCGAGCTGGGTTACTCGGATGCGGAAGCTTTCCCAAAAGAGGTGAGTCCACAGAAAATGTGGCTGGGGATGGGATGGATCATGGAGGGAACGAGGGGAGAAAAAGAGGTTTATTTCTACAAGAAAAGTTGAGCAAGGGGGGAATGAGTGGAAGGTATTTTTATCTACACCTGTACACCTCGTTCTACAGGGCTTCACTCCTTTCTGGGGTTTTCTGAGTTTACTGAAAAGTCACCTCTCTCCACCTGTTCCCCCACCCCTTCCGTTCACCCTTCCTCCTTCCCTCCTCCTCTGCTACAGGACGTCACTCGTTTCCAAGGGGGGGAGACAGAGGCTTTACGCAGGCTTGACGACTGCCTCTCACGAACAGTAAGTGATTCAATCCCCACCATTGCTGAGCATCCCACTCCTGCCTTTAGACGTCCCAGAACTGGTAAGGACGTCACTCGTTTCCGAGGGGGGAAGACAGAGGCTTTACGCAGGCTTGACGAGTGCCCCTCACGAACGGTAAGTGATCAATCCCCACCATTGATGAGCACCCCACTCCTGGTTTGCGGCATCTCAGAACTCCGTTCCGAGGGGGGGAGACAGAGGCTTTATGCAGGCTTGACGAATGCCTCTCAGGAACAGTATGCTATGCACAGCACAGCACCACCACTCTTCCGCAACTTTCCGAGACGTTTCAGAGTTTTGTTTTCAGGGGCGGGCCCCTAAAAAGAGTTATGAATAACACCATTCGTTCTCAGTCCACTTCCCTTGACCACCCTGTCTTGAATTTTCTGCAGAAGGACTAGCTGCAAGTGAGGTGCTTCGAGCCAAGAATAGCTGCTTGCCTGTTTTACGCACTCCTCTGTGTGTGTCACAGAAATGGGTGAAGGAGTTTGAGAAGCCCAAGACCGATTTGAATCACTGCAATTCAAGCAAAGTCATCCAACCCACCTCCTCTGTGTGTGTCACAGAAATGGGTGAAAGAGTTTGAGAAGCCCAAGGGTGATCCCTCCGCCCTCGCCCCTCCTGCCACCACGGTTCTCTCTCCCTACCTCAAGGTATTTACCCTGTCTCTAACATCTAGTTTGGCTGCCTCCCTTCTCGTCTCATGTACTCTCACTGTCAGGAAGTGCCTCGTGCCAAATTTAACTGTTTCGTCTTCCCATTCTCTTATCCCCTGTCTTCCCTGCGTCCTCTCCCCCGCCCACCTTTGCAACTCCCAGTTTGGCTGCCTCTCGTCGCGCCTCATGTATGCGCGCATTCAGGAGGTGCTTTTTAAACCTCTAGCCCTGGATCCCACTTCTTTTCTCCCCTCTCTCCCTATCCCAAACGCACCCATCCCCAACACCAGTTTGGCTGCCTCTCCTCACGTCTCATGTATGCACGCATTCAGGAGGTGCTTTCAAAACTGCCTGGCCACACAAAGCCGCCGGTGTCCCTGATAGGCCAGGTGAGAGCGCGAATGCCTGTACGGGCTGGGAATGGTGAGATGTGAGCCATGGGTGGGTGTTCAGACACGAAATTCTGCAGGGTATTTTTGAGAATTCTCAAGAATATCAGTTGAGAGCGGGAATGCCTTAACGGGCTGGGAATGATGAGATGTGAGCCATGGGTGGGTGTTCATTTCAGACGCGAGATCCTCTATGGGAGCATACAAAACATCTCATTTTGATCGCATACAGGGCATCAGCATTGGATTCCTCAGAATTCATGTACTCACTCACTCCTCCACCCATCCTGCTCTCCACTTATCCTGATTCCCTGACTCCCCACACCAGCTGCTGTGGCGGGAGTTCTTTTACACAGCAGCGTATGGCACGCCTCACTTTGACCGAATGCAGGGCAGCAGCATCTGCAGGCAGATTCCTTGGAAGGTGGATTCGGAGCTGCTGGCTGCGTGGCGAGATGCGCAGACCGGCTTCCCTTGGATCGACGCTATCATGGTGCAGGTAGGTGGTAGCTAATGCAGGTCGTATCCGATGCTGCTAGCTGATGCAGGCAGATTCCTTGGAAGGTGGATTCGGAGCTGCTGGCTGCGTGGCGAGATGCCCGGACTGGCTTCCCCTGGATCGACGCCATCATGGTGCTGGTAAGAATACCTGGTGCAGGTGGTAACTGGTGCAGGCAGTACCTGGTGCAGGCAGTACCTGGTGCAGGCAGTACCTGGTGCAGGCAGTGGGGGTGGATGCACCATCTGGCTCGCCACTGTGTTGCCTGCTTCCTCACTCCCTTCTGTTCTTGTGATGGTGTCACTCCTCCTCCTTTTGCCTCTCTTCCCCTCCCCATCCGCTTCCCAGCTCCGCCAGTGGGGGTGGATGCACCATCTGGCTCGCCACTGCGTCGCGTGCTTCCTCACTCCCTTCTGTTCTTGTAATGAACTCACTCCTCCTTTTGCCTCTCTTCCCCACCCCATCCGCTTCCCAGCTCCGCCAGTGGGGGTGGATGCACCATCTGGCTCGCCACTGCGTCGCGTGCTTCCTCACTCGAGGAGATCTGGTAGGTTCTGCTCTGGGGTTGGTGCTGGCTGCTCTTAGTTTGTCTAATTTGCTCTTCAGTTGGTGCTCGTCGTAGGTGGTGCTCGTAGGTGGTGCTCTGGTTCGATGAAATACCATAAAAGCTGCTTTGTCTCAGCCTCTGCCTGCTTACCCCACCACCATTTCATTGATTCTCCCATCACCCATTTGGACATAAGTGTGACTGGTTGCTGCGATGTGGTGACTCACACTACACCCACCCAAACCCTGCTCCACTCCTCTCAGCTCCTCCCTTCTCTCCACCATCTTTTTTACTGCACAGCTGGTGAAGGATATGGGAAGCGATGACATCAAAGCGTTTGGAAAGTGGTTGAATTGATGTCTAGGTGGGACATTGCACGCCTGGCACCCGGACACCGATTTAACCACTTGCCAACCGCTTTGATGTCATCACCTCGCTGCGCAGCGGGTGCACTGGGAACTGGGCTGGGACGTGTTTGACCGCATGCTACTTGATGCGGAATGGCTTTTGAGACGTCTCAAAACTGGGCCGGGACGTGTTTGACCGCATGCTACTTGATGCGGAATGGCTTTTGAGACGTCTCAAAACTGGGCCGGGACGTGTTTGACCGCATGCTACTTGATGCGGAATGGCTTTTGAGACGTCTCAAAACCCTGCTCCACTCCTCCCAACCTCTCCCTCCTCTCCCCACTCCCGCATCGACACAGTTGGTGCACTGGGAGCTGGGGCGAGATGTATTCAGCTGGCTGCTGCTGGATGGGGATTGGGCCATCAACAACAGCAACTGGCTCTGGCTCTCCGCCTCTGCCTTTTTCTCCCAGTACCACCGCATCTACTCCCCCATCACCCATCTGTGCAGGACGTGTGTGCACCGCCTCCTGTGCGGTGGTGACTCACAACACAACTCTCACCGCATCTACTCCCCCATCACCCATCTGGGCAGGACGTTTGTGACCGCCTGCTGTGCGGTGGTGACTCACAACACAACCCTACACCTCCCCTTCCCCCCTCCCGCTCCCCTGCTCTGAATGCACGCAGCTGGTCCACTGGGAGTTGGGGAGGGGCGTGTTTGATCGGCTGTTACTAGACGCAGACTGGGCTCTGGCTCTCCCCTCCCTCACCCTTCTCCTCCCAACCCCTCCGTCCTCCCCACTCCCACATTGACACAGCTGGTGCACTGGGAGCTGGGCCGGGACGTCTTTGATCGCCTGCTAGTTGATGCGGATTGGGCCATCAACAACGGCAACTGGCTCTGGCTCTCCGCCTCTGCCTTCTTCTCCCAGTATCACCGCATCTACTCCCCCGTCACCTTTGGCAAGAAATACGACCCCTCGGGGAAATTCATCCGCCATTTCCTGCCTGTTCTCAAAGGTGTGTTTTGAGTCGACTCAAAGCACTCCCAGGACCACCGCATCTACTCCCCTATCACCTTTGGCAAGAAATACGACCCCTCGGGGAAATTCATCCGCCACTTCCTGCCTGTTCTCAAAGGTAATTATCTATATAGCATGGAGCAATGCAGTGCATAAACCATGTTGGTTCGTGTCGTGGGGGAATAATGTGGTGTTAGTTCGTGCGTGCTACATGGGGTCGTTTCTGTGCTCCTTCTTTCTCAATTTTATATCTCAGTTGTGTTCTGAAACGTCTTCCCACTTCCCCCGCCTTTTTTGCCCACACACCCCTGTCCACGTTCACCCCTCCCCTCTGTCTTCACCCACCAGGCATGCCGTCACAGTACTTTTACGAGCCATGGACCGCACCTCTGGCTGTGACTTCTGAGTCGACTAACCTTTCCCCCGCCAACCCCACATTCGCCCTCCCAACATCTGCACACTCACCCACCAGACATGCCGTCGCAGTACATTTACGAGCCATGGACCGCCCCTCTCGCTGTGCAATGCAGGGCCAATTGCATCATTGGGAAGGACTACCCTCGTCCGAGTGAGTTGTTATGGAAATGAATTGAAATCACAAGCACGCACGAACTAACACTACTAGGTTCCCTCCTACCCTGTAAGCCTTTTGAGAATTCTCACAAATTCTCACAAGGGTTTCTTACCCTGTAAGCCCTCTAATATGTACTTATATAACATCTCAGCCCATGGTCAGGGTTTTCGGTCCGTCCCTTATGGCCGCGCCTGTCCTTGTTTCTTGATTTCACATGGCATTTTGTTGTTTTTTTTCACACCTTCCTTTTCTGCCTCCCTTTTCCGCACCCAGCTGTCGACCATGCGGACACCGCTTACTGGAGAACATCGCTTATTTGCTCCAGTAAGCGGTGTTGAGTGTTAATTCGAGTAAATAAGCAGCATCTCTGTGCATTCCTTACCTCCACCCCTCTTCCGCTCCCAGTTGTCGACCACACGGAAGCTAGTATGTGGTGTGGAGTGTTGAGTCGACTAAATAAGCAGCATCTCTGTGAATTTCTTACCTCCACCCCTCTTCCACTCCCAGTTGTCGACCATGCGGAAGCTAGTATGCGGTGTAGAGGCGTCATGGGTGCGGCCTTCGCTGCCAACCGCTCGGCTGCCCATGCGAACACATCGGGAAATCAGCCAGTTTCCACTACGGCGAATCATGCTATAAGAGATCGTTCAGCATCAAGGGAGCCTGCAGTGCCTCCCGAAGGAGGCAGTGCTGGCGTTGTGGTGGATACAAGGGGAGGTAAAGCAAGTCGGGCGAGAAGAGGGGGTTCTGTCCAGAAGGTTGGTTCTCAAGAGAAGGAGAGAGACGATAACAACCCAATTCAGACGAAGAAGAGGCAAAAGAGAATAGATGATATGTTCAAAAGTTGATTTGCTAGATACATGCGAAATGCTTGTAATGTACATTAGTTTTTGTGTGGAGACGAAGTCTTTAATAATGCAATCAAAAACAGCCAGAACGTCTGATGAGTCCTGGTGCCTTAAAAGAATCCTTCTTTTAGTAATGTCTCGACAAATGCAGCTGACTACTAAAAGAACAAAACGTCCGTCGAACCACTTTCTAGCGAATCCGTTTCGCCCCTGTGCTAGACCCTTGGTTGTAGTGTTGGCGGTTATTCTGCGCGGACGACGCTATCTTTCGTCAGCCTTCGACTCACAGTGGTAGGACCGTTGTCGTGCCATCGCTGAAAGGAAACTCCGAGACTGCTTCACGCTAGTGCATGCTTGATTCAGCATTTGCGAACGTAGTACGCCGCCTTTAATCGATTCTCCGCTTTCGGAACAGTCGTAGGAAGTGATAGTGCTTCGCCACGCCACTTCTGGCGTTATATGCGTTTAATCTAGTGAGCCGTCATTAGCGCACAAGTAACTGTTGTGGCAGCCACTAGGATTTTAAGGGTGGAAGCACGAAAAAGCCTGTGCCGATCGTTTATGCGAATAAGCCTGTACCGGTGTCATCTGTGGAAATGCCGATCGCACCGCCATGCAGCGCAGGAGGAAGCCACGTACAGACGTGCCACGTGTCGCTCGAGGGGATGGTCTTTCACGAATTTCACGGCGTTCTTCCCGAGGAGCGCGTGTTGGGGCAGAAGTTCGTCGTTGACACGTGGATGTGGCTCGCGGATTCGCTTCACAAACATTCGTTACAAGAAGACTCGTTACAGGAACAGCTGTTTGATTACTCCCATGTGTACAAGTATGATTCCCTTTCATGATGCCAATTCGTCTTTTGAGATTCGAAAGGCTCATCCCCGTGTGACATCAACTGACCGCTCCTCTCCGATCCTCCCATCCTCCCCACTCTCCCGTCTCCCCCTCCTCCCCCTCCTCCCCTCTCCCCCCCCACTCCCCCGTCCGTTCTTTTCCCCCTTCCTTTCCCCTTCCACTGCGTTTCTTTGCGCCCATCCCTGTCCTTTGTCCCCTTCCCCCGCTCCCCCTGCTCCCCCCTCTCCCCTTCCCCCGTCCCCACCTCCCCCCTATCCTTCCCCATCCCAGCATTGCGCGTGCGGAAGTAACGGGAACCCCTCACCTCCTATTGGAGAGCTTGGCGTATTCCATGGGCCACCAGCTGCTGCTGACTTGTCTTGAGCTGGCACGGGTGGCTGTCCGCGTCAGCAAGCCACATGTCGCCTTCACAGGGGTGCTCAAATCCGTGGGAGTCCAGCTGGAATGCAAAAGGGAAATACTGTGAGTTCAAATCAGATCAAATCACGCTAGCCCACCTTCTGTTATGGCACCTTCCTGTTATAGTAACAGTCTTGTTTCTCATTAGGTTTCCATGTCGCTTTGGACACCCGATCCGTGTTGATTTTCTTTCTTTCTTTCTTTCTTTTTTAAATTTCTCACTCATGGGATTATTTTTTCTCCATTACTCAATTTTGCCTCTGATTTTATATATATAGGGTTTCGGGTTTCCCCCTATATATATGTCTTTGATGATTATTCCTCTTTCATTCAATAACGAAGACTGTTGGCTCAAGTAATCAGTCTCCCTCCATCCCTCCATTATCCTCCACCCCTCCTTCCGCTCCATCTCCCCTCAGGCAGAAGGGAGGGCAAAAAAAAATATGGCACTGATGGGAAGGAGGTAATAGAAGAGGAGGAGAATGGAGGGGTGAAGCAGAGACAAAGGGATTCTGACTATGAGACGTCTCAAAACAAGAAGGGAACAGAAGAGGAGGAAGGAGGGGGAGAGATGGGGCGACGAGATGCTACTGTGGTGGTGGTGGATGGGGAGAGTAGCATGTTGGTACTTGAAGGACTTGTGTTCTACTGTCAGGGCAGGGAAGGGAGAGGAGGGCGGATTGAAAGGGGAGAGGGGGGAGAGAGGGGAGAGGGAGAGACATCAGATGGTGAAGGGAGAGGTGGCGACGGGGGGGGGAGAGGGTCGCGTGGTGCAAGTTTCCAGAGTTTTCATGCAGGCGTGGAGGCTCCGTGTGCGCGTGTGGAGGTGGATGTGTGTGCGTGGGTGAACCTGGCTACTGCAGCGCGGTCCGATGAGCTTTGGGACTCGGTGGACTATGGGGAGATCTACAGGTGAGTCTGTTTCTCTTGAGTCTACTAAATCATCTTGGGTTACCTCGTTGCTGCAGCGCAGTCCGATGAGCTTTGGGACTCGGTGGACTATGGGGAGATCTACAGGTGAGTCTGTTTCTCTTGAGTCTACTAAATCATCTTGGGTTACCTCGTTGCTGCAGCGCAGTCCGATGAGCTTTGGGACTCGGTGGACTATGGGGAGATCTACACGTGAGTACTATTCCTTGGATGGTGGTGGTTATGACTCATGACACTCATGGCACTCATGACACTCAACATTATTGTACACTATCGGTCATCTCTCCTTCCACTCCTTCTTCTCTTCCCTCTCTCTTCCCCTCCCTCCTCTTCTTTGCGTGGTCCCTCTCGCCCCCTCCCACAACCACCACTCCTTTCCTCATACACCCCACACGTCCCACAGTTTCTCCTCCCCGTCATTCCGTTCTGCTCTTCGCGTTTCACAAACCCCCCCTATCCCCCTCCCCCTCCCCGTACCCCTCCCCTTCTCCATCCATACCCCTCCCCCTCCCCCTTCTCTTACTCTCTCAGCATTGCACGGCGTCACGTTGAGAGCCATCAACCCCCCCCACTCGCCTCCCTCGCCCTCCCTCCTCTCGCCCGCACCATCGCCACCACCATCCGCACATCTCTCCCCCGTGTGAAGAGAGTCTGGGTGCGACTGGCCGCTCCTGCTCCCGCCTCCCTGCCCGGGGCGGTTAGACGCGCTGCAGCAGATGTCACGTTGTAGAAGACACTGCAATAGAATCTGAAGGCCACTAGAGCCCACACACACATCCCCGCCCTCCCCCCTCTTGCCCACACCATTGCTACCACCATTCGCACCACTCTCACCCACATGCACAGAGTCTGGGTGTGACTGGCTGCTCCTGCTCCTGCCTCCCTGCCGGGGGTGGTTGGTTGGGTGAGCTGCAGCAGAGAGTACCCTGTATGCACAGTCCACCCTGTAGGCACAGACTACCCTGTAGGGACAGTCCACAACTGTAGCAGAAACTGCAGGAGAAAGCCCAAGCATGCAAACCTGCAGCCCTTTCTTTTTCTTTCCTGCACCATCGCTGCCACTGTACGCACCTCCCTGCCCTGTGTGCTCAGAGTCTGGGTGCGACTGGCTGCTCCTGCTCCTGCCTCCCTGTCTGGGGTTGTTGGGTGTGCTGCAGATGAGATCACTCTGTAGACAGATATTGCACTGCAGTGTATGCAGAAAATGCTCCAGTGTACCAAGCGTTGCTTATTTTTGTACAACATGTAATGGTTCATGTTCGCATGTCAAGTGAAACTGTGAAAACAATATTCCCATGCTTCAATGGTTGCACTAAAACAGCACATAGATATATATACATGTACCATATAATAATAATATATAATCGTATTGTATCAGTCCTTGCTAGAGCCACATGTACCGTAACACAGGGATCCTCGTCCTTCAGTTGAGCTTTATTCCTGCCCCGAAAGTGTACCGCCAGTAACTGCACCACCACCTCCCCTGTGTTTTGCCCCCTGCCCAAAAGGCTTGAAAAATTGCGCACCAAACATTGCGCACCAGACATGCGCACCAAACATTGCGCACCAGACATGCGCACCAAACATTGCGCACCAGACATGCGCACCAAACATTGCGCACCAGACATGCGCACCAAACACGGCATGCACAAGGCACATGCACGCACCTCTCACTGCTTGATACTGTAGCCTCTGTCATCGACACACTCCTCCCACCACTCCTCATTTAATGCCCGCCACTCCTCTATTGATGCCCACCACTCCTCAATTAATGCCCACCACTCCTCCTCCGCAGCCCACCTGTCCGTTACTAACAGCACCACGCATCAATAGATGCCGACTGCCTCCCACCCTCTCCTTCTCCTCCCTCTCGTCCTCCCCTTCCTCCTCCCCCTCCTCCTCTTCTTCCTCCTCCTCTCGCACACTCCCTTCCAACATGCTCTCACTGAAACATCTACAGAGAAACCGGGCGTCTCTTGTACTGCCACCAGCAACCATGCTGCCATTGAAGCTGCTCGTTTCTTGGCCCGCAGCAGCGGCCTAGAAAGTTGCCCCCTCCCGGAGGTCCCAGGGGATGGGATCTCTCTATAAGCGCCAGCCCATCCCTTATAAGATCCAGGCCCTGCCTCGTTATATGCACCACCAGCGGATGCTTGCGAATCTGCCCGAGAGGTTGCTGACTGTGGATCCTGCCCGGAAACCGCGGCCTGTGAGTCTTGACCAGAGGAAGATGCTTGCGGACCTGCCCCAGGTGCAAACTTTTGAGTATCTGCCCCAGTAGCAGCTCTCTGTTTTTCTGCTCCTGTCGCAGCCCTCTGTGCTTCTGCTCCTGTCGCAGCCCTCTGTGCTTCTGCTCCTGTCCCAGCCCTCTGTGCTTCTGCTCCTGTCGCAGCCCTCTGTGCTTCTGCTCCTGTTGCAGCCCTCTGTGCTTCTGCTCCTGTCGCAGCCCTCTGTGCTTCTGCTCCTGTCGCAGCCCTCTGTGCTTCTGCTCCTGTCGCAGCCCTCTGTGCTTCTGCTCCTGTCGCAGCCCTCCGTGCTTCTGCTCCTGTCGCAGCCCGCTCTGCTTCTGCAGCACCCACAGGCAAGCTGGGCGATGGCGTTCCACGTGCCTCCGACAAAGCTGGCCTTGGAGTCGACTCAAAAGCACCCACAGGCAGGCTGGGCGACGGCGTTTCAGGTGCCTCCGAAAAAGCTGGCCCTTTGCCTTTGTCAGTAGACAGCGTTTGAGACGTCTCAAAAGTAGCAGCCCTCTGTGCTTCTGCTCCCGTCGCAACACTCTCTGCTTCGGCAGCACCCACAGGCAAGCTCGGCGATGGCGTTTCAGGTGCCTCCGAAAAAGCTGGCCCTTTGCCTTTGTCAGTAGACGACTTTTGAGACGTATCAAAAGTAGCAGCCCTCTGTGCTTCTGCTCCCGTCGCAACCCTCCCTGCTTCGGCAGCACCCACAGGCAAGCTCGGCGATGGCGTTTCAGGTGCCTCCGAAAAAGCCGGCCCTTTGCCTTTGTCTACGGAGCGCAGAGCTGCTGCAAGCGCATCTGTAAGTCTAGCCCGTTGACTTTGAGGCACCTCGGCCAAAGCTGGGGCCTTGCCCTTGTCTATGAAGCACAGACCTGCTGCGACTAGGCAGGTCTGTGCTTTGATGAGGCACGCTGGACAGGTTCCCACAGGACTTGTATTTTCTGGGAGGAGGTTTGGAATGGGTTCGACTGGAGGGGCTGGTGAGGCCAAAAGAGCGGTTGCTGTTGCTGTTGCTGTTGCTGTTGCTGTTGGTATGCTCGAAGGTTTTGCTCTTGGAAAGCGGGTGCGTGGTGGGGGATTGTAGAGTGGGATTGTAACGAGGGCTGTAACGGGGGTTTGTTGTAGCAAGGGCTGATGGGCGGTTGTGCTGCTGTGCATTATGACTGGATGGGCTTGTGCTGGATAGGTCCAAGGCAGCAGGGCGGTGGTGGTGCTGTGATGCATGAAGAGTCGATGAGCTACTGCTGGATAGGTCAAAAGCTGCAGGTTTGCGTTTGCTCTGGGCGTGAAAACTGGATGGGCTTGTGCTGGATAGGTCAAAAGCAGCAGGGCTGCGTTTGAAGGTCCTGCTCTTGCTGAAAGGGTGTGGAGAGCGAGGAAAGAAGGCATCTGGGAAGAGTGAGTGGGTTGCACCGGTAGCAACACCAGCTGCAGCAGCAGCAGCAGCAGCAGCAGCAGCAGCAGCAGCAGCAGCAGCTGCAGCAGCTGCAGCAACACTGGTAGGAGTTGAGCCAGCAGAACCACTGGCAATGCCATGAGTATAGAAAGCAGCAGCAGGTGTAACTCGGAAACTCGGAAAGCAGAAGTTCGAGTACTGCATGCTGCTGACTGGACAAAGTCACGTCGTCAGCAACGAAGGCAACGACACTCCAGAAGCGAAGGGGAGTGTTGGAAACATATAGTTCGCGCTTCTGATGTGTCGAGCACTACTACAAAAGCGAAGCGAACTGAAGCGAAGCAACAATGAGTCAACCAAAGCAGTTGACAGAAAGACAACAATAAGAGGTTGAGTGAAGTTCAAAGGTCAGCGACCTTGACTCGCCGAAAATCAGCGCGACAGCAAGGACACATAACTGACTCACTATTGAGCAGTTACTCGAGTCGCCACTGTATCGAACTGCAACAACAATTACAGTCAGTGAAACCTTTCACATTCTTTTGTAATCATATAAAGCTTTGTATCTCTTTGCTATTATTAACTTATCTTGTTCTCACATACCAGTGCAAGGTGGTTCAATTAGTTCACTATTACACTTCCGCTAATACATCACTACTCTGGGACTTGAGTCTTGAAAACGATCTTAAGGGCTTTTCTCAACTCAACAGAGCTTTCTTCCTGCCCTGAAAGTGTAGTGCCACAAATTGCACAGCCTTTCCTTTGTTTTGCCCCCTGCCCACAAACGGCTTGAAATATTCGTAACGCACTGAGGTTGGCGTTTTCATGCTTTCCCTCGGGCAGACGTGAAGCTTTTTCTTCTTGCCCTGGGATCAGAACAGAAAGAAATATTAGGCATAAGGGGCAGGCAACAAACAATGGAGGTAGTGACTTAAGGAGTCCATTCGAGTGTTTTGGAGTGTTTTCTAGTGTGTGTGTGTGCGTGCGTGGGTGCGTGGGTGCGTGTGTGCGTGTGCGTGTGCGTGTGCGTGGGCGTGTGTGGGCGTGTGTGGGCGTGTGTGTGTGTGGGCGTGTGGGCGTGTGTGTGTGTGTGTGTGTGTGGGCGTGTGTGTGTGCGCGTGTGCGTGCGTGTGTGCGTGCGTGCGTGCGTGCGTGCGTGCGTGCGTGCGTGCGTGTGTGTGTGTGTGTGTGTGTGTGTGTGTGTGTGTGTGTGATTTGTTTCCCTTTGTGATTGAGCTCTCTCTGCTAATGAAAGTAAGGCCTCCGCAGCCCACCTGTCCGTTAATGACAGCTCTCTGTGCTAATGAAAGATGCTACCGCAATGCCCCCATTACTGTTTCACTCGATGGTGAAAGGTAAATACAAATGAAAAGTACCATGCCATACAAAAGATGCCATAAAATGTTGTCCAACAGTGTACAAAGCTGTAACATACTGTACAAATTTTATGTTGCAACACCCTGCAACAAGGCTGCAGCAGCATACCCAGAACAGAGAAGTTGTTATCAGAGGCACACCACCCGGCATCGCTCCAAGCACTCGCCTCGCACTGCCGGGGTGCACACAGCGACTCCGCCTTGAAGCCCGGCTGGAACTTGCTGTGAATTCGCGGGTACTGGGCTGACTTCTCCTTGTCCTTGCACTGCCCGGTTGAGGGGGTTGGGGGGGGGAGGGGGAGGGGGGAGGTTGGGGGGATGAGGGAAAATGAGGGAAAGGAGGAAAGGCAATGGACAGGGAAAAGGTTGGAAGGGAGGTAGGGAGGAAGGGTGACGAGGAAACGTGAGGGAAGAGTGCCCAGAGACCATTCTTATATGGAAGTCGCCAAGCTGATACAAACCGAGGTTGATGTAGTCCATTTTGTTTGAGGTTGATTTTGAGAATTTTTGTTTGAGGTTGATTTTGAGAATTCTCAAAATCAACCTCAGGCAAGGGAGGAAGGGGGACGAGGAAACGCGAGTGAAGAGTGCCCAGAGACCATTCACTCGGGGGTGGTCCCAGGCTGGTCTGCCGGGCTGGTCTGCCGGGCTGGTTCGGCGGGCTGGTCTGCCGGGCTATGTTGCACTATACGCTTAGGGTGTTATTCGTTTCACGTTTTTGCGTTCACGTATAAACGCAAAAACGTGAAACGGGGACAAATGCGCGACACGAAAAGCTGGGCAGACAAAAAAAAAAAAACATAAGTTCGCGCTCTTTCCGTACGCACGTGTACCGACATTTTGATTCGCGTTTTTTTCAATCATGGGACGTGCAAAACCGAGTCGCCACGTTCACCCCACGTACATCAACATTGCCCAATCACCCCCAACAAGTCGTGACCAACCACAGCATTGCATTACTGCTGTATTTTCCTTTGCTTTAAGCCTACTGCACGCACGCAGCTCACTGAGCTATGTCTGGATCTGGAGTAGCGACCGCGGGAGCCTGGATTGCTAGAAAGCTGCTGCTGAGCGGGAGGAGGGACAATAGAGGAAGCTTCCCGTTCCTTTCCTGCTGCTGACGCAGCTGCTGCTGACGCATCTCCTTCTGCTGCAGAAGATCCGATATGACTGGTACGTTGGCTGCTGACGTGGCTGCTGCTGACATGGAATGGATTGCAGACAGGAGGAACGCTATAGCGAGTACGACTGCCCTGTAGGAATGAGGACAGGGAGGGGAGTTTGGGGGAGGTAAGGGGGAGGTAGTGGGGAGGTAGTGAGAGGGGGAGGGTGGTAAGGGGCAGGTAGGGGGAATGAGGGAAAAGATGATTGGGTGGGGAGATTGGTGGAGGTGGGAAGAAGGGTAGGGGGGATAAGATCGAGCATCCCATGCCATCCCATGCCATCCCATGCCATCCCATGCCATCCCATGCCATGCCATCCCATGCCATGCCATGCCATCCCATCCCATCCCATCCCATGCCATCCCATCCCATCCCATCCCATCCCATCCCATCCCATCCCATCCCATCCCATCCCATCCCATCCCATCCCATCCCATCCGATGCCATCCCATCCCATGCCATGCCATGCCCCGCTCCATTACTCATGCAAAACGCGCTCAGCAGCAGCCATACCGTACCAAACCACACCGCATCGCACCTCACCACACCACGCCGCACTCCGCTACTCACGCACAACGCGGTCAGCACAAGGAGGACGGATGCGGGCCCACTCCGCGCCGCCATCCAGACAGCGTGCTGCACCGTCAAGTCCTTAATCGATAAGAGGTTGTCTTATCGGAGATGCTTTTTCTATATATAAACGCGCAGGCGCCTTCTAACCGCGCAGGCGCATTCAATGCGTCTTCCCAACGCGCCCGCCCTCCGCGCGGTTGACGTCACGGTCGCGGCTTCCGCACTTTCAGCCCTGCGCGCGCGGAAGTGTGTGCCTTTCCGCCATCGCTTGCGCTTCGGCGAGCAGCCGCTGCTCCACGGGGCGACACGTGGAAGGGGAGTGGCGATAATCCCATCTAGGTCAGCGTCGCGGAGCGCTGTGGGTGGCATCTACAGCAGTACCAGTTTCAGTTCAGTCAGCTGGGGTTGCCTGTTTGGACGGTTGTACGGACGGAATTTCGCGTCTCACGGTTGTACCGACGAACTTTCGCACCTTAAAGCTCGCGTCTCATGTTTCTGCCATCCAACCAAGTGTTAAACGGTTGGAATCCGGTAACAGCAGAGTTTGTCGCGAAGCACACCAAAGCAAGGGGTGGTTGGGAAAGTTGGCTGTCGCACACTTCCCCGTGCACACCAAGTGTTTACAACTCCCAAAAATATGAGACTCTGAACTGAACGTTGACAGAACCCAGGACCAAACCTGTCACCCTTGCCTCGGTTTCCCCCCAAACCAACCCACCCTGGTTTGTTTTGGCCTCGATCTTTTGGAGTTCGCTGTGTTTTTTTCGCCCACTCGTCAAATATTTCGACTTTCGTTACCCAATCAAACCCTGGCAAACCCAACCAAGTGTTAAACGGTTGGAAATTAGAGACGCGAGCTTTAACGATTGTACAGACAAAACTTGGCGCCCTTACGAGACTCGATTGAGGGGCACCCGGAAAGAACTACAATCGAGAAACGAAGAGGGTGTAGCGAGTGACTTGAGAATTCTAACTAACTATT